ATGTGCTAACTACCTCCTATGCGGCAAAATACTCAAGCACTTTCTCCTCTTGTGCACAGCGAAGCCCGTGCCTCTGCTTTAGAGTCAAGTTTGAAGAGCTTGGGTGTTGAAAAACTGAGCAAAGATGAAGTGCAGAAAATGCCATGGGAAATTTTGGAGTCTAAAATAGGGAATTGGATTCACTTCATGCGAATTGCTGTAAGGATTTTTCTCTTATCTACTGTATGGTGCAACATGCCTCTGGTGACACCTTTTGCTTTAAACAGGTTAAACTTCTTTTTGCCGCGGAACGTCAGCTTTGTGACCAGGTTTTTGAGTGCAGTCAATCTTTGAGGGATAAGTGCTTTGCTCAAATAACTAGGAATAGTTTGGCTACACTACTCAGCTTTGGAGAGGCAATTGCTATGAGTAAAAGATCACCAGAGAAGCTGTTTGTGCTGCTAGACATGTATGAAATAATGTGTGAACTTCAAGCAGATGTAAGTTTCTGATTCATACCATAGCTATCTATTAATTGTTTCATTGGCCAGCCACAACCCTTTTGTGCAGAACTGCGAAATGATAAGTGTGTGCATGCTGAGTTAAGATCTGTTTTTAAGTTTCTAAAAATTTTGAGCTCCTTATGCCATCGGACCAATTTATGGTTGACGTAATCCTGCAGTACTGATCTCAACAGCTTGATATTTTTGGGTTGATAAAATTGCAAAAGAAACATATGATTAAATGATATTGTGAATGCTTTGTGAAAAAAGGGGCAAAATGCCAAACTTCTCACTGCAGATTTCAAAGTATGAGAAGTGCATGGGGCATTATCATACTTATATGACACAGTGTGGTGCCATATTTCCAAAATTTCTCTGTTGGTCCATCTATATTGAAGTTCGCCGTTTTACCAGAAATCAATTTTCACCAAGGTCTTTGGAACTTGGACTTTCTTGTTTGCATATTCTTTAATGAAAAACGACTTCACTAGACAAATGTTATAGTAACTAACTAACTATGGAGAATTTAGACTGTCAACTGAATGTAAATTTATTTTAGATATGGTGCTATTTTCTTGACACGGAAATAAGTAATATCTACATTTTTTATGGATTGTGTAGATTGACACCATCTTTGTTGGAGAATCATGCTCTCAAATGCGTGAGTCTGCATTGAGTTTGACAAAATGCTTAGCACAAACTGCACAGAAGACTTTCAGTGACTTTGAAGAAGCTGTTGAAAAGGACGCAACAAAGAATATTCATATTGATGGGACAGTGCATCCTTTGACGAGCTACGTGATTAACTATGTCAAATTTTTATTTGAGTAAGTATATGATCATGTGCACTTAATCTTTCCTGTAATTTGATAGTTGCATTGCTATACTTTCTTGCATTTCTTCTTCAATCCTATCCACCAGTATGCTGATATTTGTGTTTTGCAATCGTTGCTGCTGTATCTCTTCTATTGGATAGCCTTCTAATTCACCAAGACCAGATTATTTTTCCCCAGCTGTATACGACAACAAATAGATCACTCCAATGTAGCTGAACTTCTTTTGTACCGTTCTTGCAAACATTATCTATATCCAATTTTGTACCTATTAAATGCTCTTTCAGAATGTCTTGTTTTGTCAAGCTGCAACTGGCTATAGCTTTGCAAAAAAAATGACAACATTTAATCTTTCGCAGCTACCAGTCAACTCTAAAACAGCTCTTCCAGGAGTTCAAAAGGGAAGATGGAACAGGTTCTGAGTTGGCCACTGTAACCATGAGTATCATGCAGGCTTTACAGAATAATCTGGATGCAAAAGCAAAACAATACAAGGATCCAGCTTTGATGCACATATTTTTGATGAATAACATTCATTATATCGTGAAATCTGTCCGCAGGTATGTTCTTATGAAGTAAGGTATAAACAAATTCGCAATAGCCAATAGGTTAGTAACTGGATGAGTGGGTATAGTTTAATGCTCTCTTTTCTTTCTTCCAGATCAGAAGCCAAAGATTTATTGGGGGATGACTGGATTCAAAGGCATCGAAGAATTGTACAACAAAATGCAAATCATTATAGAAGGATTGCTTGGTCAAAGGTCCATTTGCTAGACATATTTGAACAAAACTCACTGTTTGTTTCTCTTGCATTTTGTTACCATTGTTGATGTTTAATAGGAAGAGTGAGCCTAAAGATCTATGCATTATTCCGATTTTACAGGTCTTGCAATGCCTCTCTGGTCAAGGTTTGACTTCATCAGGAGGTAGTGGTCAAGTAGGAAGTGAGGGAGGCAATAGCAGTGGAGCTTCAAGAGCTGCGGTCAAAGAGAGGTTGGTCATGTACACTAATTATTCCAGCTTGCTTTTCGATGAATGATGTTTTACCATACAATTTCTGAAACAGTGTTTTGCCCACTATTTTGTAACCAGATTCAGGTCTTTCAATGTGCTATTTGAGGAGATTTATCAAAAGCAGTGTGGCTGGTCTGTTCCAGATACGGAGTTGCGTGAGTCACTAAGACTTGCAGTTGCTGAAATCCTGTTGCCTGCATACAGATCTTTCCTAAAGCGCTTTGGGTATGTTTCTTTGAAACTTCATTACATGTAAATAATATATTAATGCATGGACAAGGACCATAACTAATCCTTTATTTTCTATTCAAACTCTCCTGCTCATGTTTTTGTTTCTGGCAGTTTGTCAAATGTGAGTTGGTGCATTTTCTTGTTTGTGCCAGTTATATTATTTAATTAGGTTTAAAAAAACCATGAAGATTATATTTACCTACCAATTTGGTGCTTTATGAATTCAAAATTATTTACTAGCATTACAAATTTACAATATAAATTGCAAAGGCGTTATCCCTAGAAGGCTAGAACCTGATACACTTCACGGCTGTTTAGGAGACACTCCTTATTCTCCTTTTGATTTCTATCTAGACCTGAATCCTGACTGTTTAGGCTGGCACTTAATTATGAGTTTGTTAGTAGAAATAACAGCAGCCCCTGACTAAGATCTTAGTCAGTAGTAGGAATTAGAGTGTTCCGGGTGCTTTCACCAGGCCCAGCTTTGGTGCATACCACATGCCACTGATATCAGACCTGGACCTGACCGACTGTCCCTCGGCAAAATAATTGTTGCTTGCATCTCCTCTGCTTTGCCGTTTAAGAAAGAGACTTTAACAAATTTGCCTGTCCTAAAACCGGCGTAGCCCTGGTCCACAGAATTTTGATGATTGAGCATTGCCATCTGTTCATTTGTTTAATACCATGAATTTTCCCTCTTTTCTTTTATTTCTATGTTTCTATGGATATGTATGTTCACTAGACTCAAGAGTTCTTGTCCCTGGAGCTTATGAGACTTGTAATCTATAGGCCTCTCATCGAGAACAGCAAGGCACCCGGAAAATATGTCAAGCACACACCAGAGCAAGTTGAGCTACTGCTTGCCAATTTGTTTGAAGGAAAACAAGAGCGTACTTGATTGGGGTATGTGGCTGCTTAATATACACCAGCGACGATGTGATGTCATTCTCTGTAAATTGGGACCCTGGTAGCATTGCTTTTGTTTGTGTAGCGCTGCTGCTCAGAACCGTTGCTATGTGCACCTTTCCTTGCTGGGGTGCATGATTTGTATAGATACTGTCCTAGTTGCCATTTATTGTTTTTGTTGATTTGGTAGGTGCTAGGTTCGTTCTGATATGTTGGAAACTCGTGTTAGTGCATTCATTATTCAGTATCAGCAGTGTGCAATAATTGTCCAATGTTAATGCAACCTCTAGTGCCTCCATTTTGCAGTTGCGGGAGTATAGTCGCAACTGTTTCCCACAAAGGCAAACCTGTATTCTCCTTGTTTGTGAGCTTTCAGGGTCAACTCGATTTTTTTTTTGACAAATTAGCCATTTTCAAAAACTGATGAAACTAGACCGTGAAAAAAAAAAAGGCCGTGGGCTCCATGCTCAGACCCCTGCCACATCGGCGGGGGGGAATGGCTTGGCCGCCACGCTGGCAGGTGCTTAGCGTCAAGCGTTTTTTTGCTAACCTCAGCGCCAGAAGCATTGGCGTTGAGGTCGCGGTCTATTTGCTTGAAGTATTTTTTTTTCACGGTCTAGTTTCGAAATAAGTTTTATAAAATGACCAATTTGTCAAAAAAAAACAGGAGTCAACTCTTATTAGTGTCGTTTTCATAAATATTATTATACATGCCCTTAATACGGAGCAGTAAATAATAATAAGTCTTTATATTTATGGGTAATTACTTTTTTAACAAAGCACATGGGTGACTTCGGTAATATCAAAATATGCCGTCAGTTTTTTTTTTACAGGTGTTCGTAAGAAATATTATACATGTGTGCTTTATTTTCTTCTTTTCTGGAAAACTCAAATGAAAATTCACTCTACTCCTAGTTGTTACTATGGAAAACAGAAGATATGAACCAGTTGTTAGGCCCTCTTTATTTAGGTTAGCTTATATCTTTTATAATTCGGTGGATTTAAAATCCTAAATTGAATAAAAGAGACATACCTTCATCTTACGTAAGTTAAAAATTTTTCTTCAACACAACTTTTGACTTACCGTTGTAAGAGTGACTTATAGCTTTAAAAAAACCAAACAAAAAAACTGCTTCATCTTACGGAAGTTAAAAAATTTTCTTCAACATAACTTTTGACTTACCGTTGTAAGAGTGACTTATAGCTTTAAAAAAACCAAACAAAAAACTGCTTATTTGTTTAGAATTAGACTAAACAAAGAGCCTATAAACAAAGATGATCTAAATCCTGGTGTCTTGAGGACTTTGAACAGATGCGATGGATCGAACCTGGCGTAGTGGATATATGTCCATGGTGGATACAAAAGCGACCCGATGTTAACGTGCATGGACTAGCGATAAGAATGTGTACGAGAGAGATACGGAAAAAAAACCAGCGTCCTTTCGTTCAAAAGCGCCCTTCCCTTATCTCTGCATGCAGATGCAGACACCACCAGACCCCGCGAGTATAAAGCCGTCATTTGTTCTATTCTGTTTTCCTTTCAGTTCTTCTTCAACTGAGAGAGCAGTAGGCAGAGAGGGGCAGTGAGATCGATGGAGCGAGCAGCCGATGAGGAGGCGGCGGCGGAGGCTCTCCGCGCGAAGATTGAGCTCCTGCGACAGGCGATGCAGAGCAGCGAAGCTATGCAAAAGGAGGCTGCCGTGATAGGCACTCGCTTGAACAACCACATGGTCGCCATTGACGAGGCCATGCGCCCTGCCCATGTAAGGGATTATGTTCTTCCTGATCTTTAAATCTATCTATCTATCAATCTCAGAATCTCATTGTGAGCGATTTGCATGCAGAAGAGGACGTACAACGCGTGCAGGGTTCATGACAACATCAGGAGGAGCCTCACGGCGGCCGGGGCGATCGTGCGCCACCTCGACCTTGTAAGGGAGGTAATCTAATGTAGCTTCAATTCGTTCCTCGATCAGGTGCAGATTAGATTAGCTGATGATGAGAGTTCATATTTGTTCACCCCCTCCTCCGTCGATCGATCAGTTTGTTACTACTACAAGTTTGAATTTAGCCGATATTGGACGAGGCCTGTCCGATGGGCCGGCCCCTGGCATTGAAGCGGAGGCCCACGATAAACAGAGTTACTAGTCTACAGCCCATCCAGCCCATAAACCACCTCAGGCCCACTAAACAACCCCAATCCGGGCCCAATATTGCGCCCTCGATATGCGGCCGGCGGCGTGCAGCCTCCTCCGGCGTGGCGACCGCCGGAGGAGGGGAATGGGAGGAGGGCTAGCAATGCCGGCGGCGCCTAGCAAGCGCGACGGAGCCGGCGCGCCGCGGTGAGGCATCTGCCGTGCGCCGCCCTCCCGTACTCTCCTCCCTTTGCTTCGCTTGGCTTGTGCGGTAAAATTGCTTGGGTTTTGGGCGGAGAGCGATTGCGGTTCCCCCGGCGTGGTCTCGAATTTCAATCCGAGCTTTGCTGCGGGTCTACTTCTGTGCCTAGTCTGTTCACCAATTCTGCTCCTACTTTTCTGCACTGTGTACCTACCCGCCTATTTGATCTGAGGTTTTGGGTCATAGTCGCCTATGATGTGGAGTAGCAATCGACCGGCATTGTTCTCGCTTTCATTCCATGATTCACTTTTTACATTAGGGCACCCGCGGGTAGTAACTAATTCTAATCACTCGTTTCTGTTGCTTGATGATGCAAATTTCTCTGATAAATGCATGCTAGGACCTAGAATACTCTTTGGTTGTTGTCTTCGTAAAAAAATCTCTAGTCCTTTTTTATGGGTGATCATGTTAGATTGCTTGATACTTTACCTTTTAGAATTGGGTTCCTTATTACTGACATTTGATTGATTTTCCATGTGTACAGGCAGAACATGTGATATTATTGGACAGACCAAACGAGGATCTTAATGCCTATCTTGAGGCGATTGATAAGTTGACTAGTGTCGAATACTTTTTTACTTCCAAGATAAGATGTAGAGTTGGTAATGATGTTCACGAACGTGTTAACGAATTGCTTTCTAAAGCAATCCATGGGTTGGAGAATGAATTCCACAGGCTGTTAACCAAATGCAGGTTCGGTTATCTGTTTGTTTAGACCCCATATCTATTTAGGAATGTTCAGAAATTAATTACTTCATCAGAAACCTCTTTACTATCTCATTTTCCCTATAGCAAACCTGTAGATCTTGAGAATATTTTCAACTGTCTATCAAGTCTTAATCGGCAATTGTCAAGTGAGGACCTTATTGGCCCATCAGCCGGTGATTATTCTGAAGCACCGCTAAAACAGTATGCTGAGTGCACTCTTCCTACACTCGTTGATCCCTGTTACTTGACTTTGCTCTCAAAGTTAGCACAGAAATCAATTCAACTTGATTGCCATCAGAAGTTTATGGAAATATACAGGTGCAATCTACAAAAGTTCTAAAGTCTTTTCTACTTGCAATATTTTGCTTCTGAGTTTCTGATTTTGCTTGTTCACATTTTCCATCATTCCCACAGAGAAATTCGTAGTTCAACTTTGGAACGGACTCTTAAGCGCTTGGGAGTTGAATATGTTACAAAAGAAGAAATGCAGCAAGTTGAGGCTCAGAGCATGGAAGCTAAAATCGCCGAGTGGACACAATTCTCCCGAATTACAGTGATGCTCTTGCCTTGACTGCATAAAGTTTAAAATGCAAGATGTTGTTTGGCAGTAATATCTGACTATTTATTCGAACAGGTAAAGTTGCTTTTCGGCGCTGAACGCATTCTGTGTGATCAAGTATTTGAAGGAAAGTATACATGGAAAGACCATTGTTTTGCTGAAGTAACAGCTAAAAGCCTTTCAATTCTACTCAGTTTTGGAGATGCTGTTGTTCAATCCCAAATATTGCCAGACAAACTATATATACTTCTAGATATGTATAAGGCAACATTGGAACTTCAATCCAAGGTGAAAGAACAATGATATCTGACCTTTGCTGTGTACATAGTTACATTTTGTTTGTTCAAAGGGCCAAAATATGAGGGAAAGAAGTAAGTTTCATTCTGACTGAGTATGCCTTCTCATTTCAAAGAACTAACCATTATTCTTGGGCCGGTTATGTTAGGTTGATGCAATCTTTGAGGGTAATGCATGCTCTGAAAACCAGAAATCTGCCCTTACTTTAACTAAAAGCCTTGCACAGACTGCGAAAAAGACAATAGGTGATTTCATGGAATACATTCTGAATCACTCGGTGACGAGTACGACTGTTGATGGGGCTGTGCATTATATGACCAGCTATGTCACTGATTATATCAAGTTTCTTTTTGAGTAAGTGAAATCTGGGGATTGGGAGTTTTCTTCATATGACCTCCAATAGAATATGGCCTAATACCGTTAGCAACTATCTGACTTAACAGCTATCAAACTGATGCAGCTATCAATCATCAATAAAGCAGATCTTTGGAGATCCCTGTGTTGAAGATGAAAAAGATACTGATGTGGTCTCTCAAATTGTTGGTGCAATACATGCTCTGGAGACCAATCTAGCTATGAAGGCAAAGCAATACAAGGACCTTGCTCTGGGGCACCTCTTTTTGATGAACAACATCCATTATATTGTCAAGTATATTGGCAGGTCAGTAGATATCATATAAGGACCAAAAATCTGATTAGCTGAATGATATAACTATTTTCTTATTCTCAGATCAGAATTGAAGGATTTATTAGGTGCTGATTGGATTGAAAGACAACGAAGGATTGTGCAACAACATGCTACTCGATATAGAAGAGTTGCTTGGCTAAAGGTCTGATCACAAAAAGCTTGACAGCACGATTTAACCGAGCATCTCTTGTATTTTTACAAGGTTTTTTTTAACTGTTCTGAGTTTGCAGGTATTGGAGTGTCTATCAACTCAAGGTCTCACTTCATCAGTAGGCTCTTCAATTGATGTCACTCAAGGAAGTTTTAGAAATATTAAGAACAGTACAACCTCCAGATCTGTGATCAAGGAGAGGTTAGGCTGAAATACCAATATAATCAATGTAGTATGTACTCAGTTTTTGGTGATTCATCTTGCGATTTACTATGTTCTTTTTTTTCTAACTCTTCTCAGATTGAAATGTTTCAACATGCGATTTGAAGAGATTTGCCAGAAACAGATGAACTGGGGTGTTCCTGACAGAGATTTACGAGATTCCCTAATTCTTATGATTGCTGAAATATTGTTACCTGCTTATAGATCTTTCCTGAAACACTTTGGGTACTTTCCAATTTGCTCTGGTTTTACGACTTTGTTTTATTTCTTTATCAAGCTCCTCAAGACATTTCTCCTTTGGTTATGTTATGGTTATCGTTTTCATCATGTAGGCCTCTTGTTGAGAACAGCCACAGCGCTTTAAAATATATGAAGTACACTCCAGAATCACTTGAGCAAGCTCTTGGTAATCTATTTGCAAAGAAGTTACGAAGTGATCAGGTCATCAGGGATTCTGATTGCATCAAACATCCCATTTAACTGTAAGTCAAGAGACCTTCCTGAACCCTATCTGTACTATGCAGTGTCATAGTGTGTTGGAACAAAAAGGGGTGCATTTTAGTTTCATAGCGCATTTTACCTGTTAAGTATTGTCATCTTGTTTTGATTTTGTTTTCAGACAGCTAGCCAAATCCATTGTAAGCAAATTTAACTTTGGGTTCAATAACCAGGTGTTCTCCTTGCATTTGTTTGCTGCCTGCATTGTGCATGTTTGCATTGGACTGACATACTCTTTCTCTAAGCCTGGAGGTTCAGACCAAGTCTAAACATTTATCTCTTTTTTTATGAAAAAGAAACAAACCGTAGACTGTAAACTGTTCCAAGTGGCTAACTGCATGATCAGCCTTGCATTCCTCTTGAGAGATGCATGTTAGCGTTGGCTCCAATCCTGAAGACTCAAATTCTCAAACCAAGTCATAAGAGTCTCCTCAAAAACTGTAAAAGATAAAGTGTTAAATTGGTCCTAGTGGACAGTGGTTATTTAATCTAGTTTAGGTTATTGAGAAAAAAATCGATCCCACCCATCAAATATGTGGTAGCTGGGTATTAGGTGTTAGCCTACACTAACCTGCAAATTTTTGAACGAACTCACTAACCTGCAAATGGAGACTGTCCAGAATTAGATTTAACTTTTATCAAAACAAAAGGAAGACGCTGACTTGTAAAAATTCCTATTTCAAACATACAAGGGAACTCTTGCACGTGGACTCTATTCACCAATAGCGTCCATGCATGAGTGGCATGACGGTCAATGGCTAGCTAGTAGGATAAGTATAGGTTGTACCTGAAGAATATTTCACATCTTTTGGAGACTACTTACAGGAAAGTATTCTTCTACAACTCATTCAGGAAGTATAGCAGTTTGCATGCTGCTTTTTAATTTACATGTCATTGTGGACCCTAAATGATGTAAATGGCTATCACATTCCACTTTATTAATGGCACTGCTGGCACACAACAATTGTTAAACCCGTATTGATAGGATTAACTGAGTTCATGGTCTCATCAATTTTTATGTAGCATAAATGTGAATGCATTTTTGAAGAAGATAGGTTGCTAGCTCACTATTGGAAGTGGCTACACTGGGTGATTATTATACTAGAATGAACATATATCTCCAAACATTTTCTTCCACCTCATTTGTTTACAATTTTGTGTTGTATTTCTAGTGTGCATGCTTTATTTTTCTTCAAATAAAATGTTTTTAAAACTGTATATTACAACTACTGTATTTTTATGGTTAGTGCAAATTAGTTGAATCTGATTGCCTGGGACCATGGCAGAAGAACCATAATCAGCCATCATCATTACAGTATATACCAGGACCGCACCTGCTCTCTTCATTCTAGTTCTTCCATATCCATCCTTTTAGTTAGGATCATTCTGTTAGGTTCTCTTGGTATATTGAGATGCATGAGTATGACCCCACCTATGACGGGATAATATGTTTCTTTACTCCTGCATAAATGATTTCCCCTTCTCATTAATAAACTTGTGAAGATACAAGAGCTTAATGTACAGAAAGTTGATTGCAGATTGAACTTTATCGCCTTTATGGTGACATTGTGGATGAGAATCCACTGTATTCAGACTAAGAAATATGATAACACCTTTGTGGCTGCAGTACTTTCTGGTGCTCTCGTTTTCTTCTTAGATGTCCTTTAGAGGCTTGGCGCATAGTTGGTTTGTGCTTCAGGCAAACTTTATATTCTTTCCCCACATTTTTCTGCTTCAAACAGTGATTTAAAATTTGGAATTGTTTTGATTAATGGATTCTGTCTTTGTTTCTTAATTTGGTCATTTGGTGAGTGCAAATTATATGTTTCATGCATATTTGGAGTCACCTATCATTCTTGTGATCTTTCAATTTCCTGTCATCAGACTGAAAAGTTGCACGGTTTGTAGTGATTTTGATAGAAAAGGACGAGTTCTTGTTAGTAGTTTCATGGCAATATCGCAGTTAGTGGAGTTGGTTCGAGAGGTGTCGTGCATTCATGCCCCATCACCTTATGTATGGTTGTATAATACTCCCTCCGATCTTTTTTGTACGAAGCTGGTTAGTTTAATTCATTAAAGGATGTAGGTAGTACTACTTTTTCAGGAAGAGGTACATAACTTTGTGAGAAAAGAGCAAATTTACCATTTTCTCTTGCATAATTACTTCTCTATGTTCGCTTCATGGTTGAAGCTTCCCCCATTGACTCCTGCCGGAACTTCATATCATTGTTTAATTAAGCATATGCTAGTTTTTTTTTCTTTTGGCTGGGTAGATAAGCATTGCTAGTTTTGGTTGCCATCTGAGACTATGGATTATGGCAAGGGCGGATGGGGGTAGCAGGGCCTTGAGTCTACTATTGGCGCGCGAGAACTATGGGAGTCACCACTAAAATATTTTTTTTTGCTATATGTAGAGGGGAAGAGGGGGCTGTAGCTTTGTCTAGTTTGTTCAGACTCCTCTTATATTTCTTCCTAGATCCGTCACTGGAGACGGGGTAACATAGTTAATCATGCTAGTTTTGGGCTATAGTAGAGGCCGAGGATGTTAACTTCTATTACAAAATTGTATTAAAAAAAAAAGGTTACCGTGCTACCTACAGTTATATAGCTTGTAGATAACATTTGGCAAGGCAAAATTTCTCTGTTAACTTCCTGCTTCCTGCTGTTATGATTCGTTTGGCATGAAACTTTTGTTACTCGGGCTGTCATGTAGGTTATTCATTCGTCAATTTATAAGATAAATACATACTTTACTGTTTCCCCTAATTAATATCTGTATGACATTGTCGTCTCAGGTTTGACTCCTGTAGGCGAAGTCAGCGAACGAGGTAGCAGGCTCCAAGCCTTATTCATCATCTGCCATAGCTAAAGCGCATGGAAACCACGAGGGCATATTTCCGAATGCCAACTTGGAGCGCAGCTGCACAGGTGAGCCCCTAATGCAACAGCTCTTTGTATTTCCACGTAACCATCTGCGCGTACTGCCGTTGGCATTTGATGCTATTAGTCGACATCTGCCCATTTAGCAGTGATTATACGGCAGGCATCAGGTGTACAGTAATTGGAAGGCGCACCGTTCCTTGCATCTTATGTCCTAGTGGAGACAATCAATTATCAGAAACTCTGGTTGGCTGGTTCAAAGTCTCGCGCATTAGTGTGAAAGATACTCCTATGTGACCTTTATGGTACCACAAATTCACTGCATCTAATCATACTTTTCTTAATACAATTATGTATTGGAAGATTACAGTGCGCATAGCATATAACAAGAGCCCATTTGGCTTAAGAGACGTCCCTAACATGGGTTCCCTATGTGAGCTGTCCTTTGGACTCTACCTGCCAACAACCCTTCTTCTCTGCCCTTCATTTCCGCACAAGCTCAAACATGGTGGACGGCTGTAGCATAAGAAGCTTCCATGCTGTGTGCTTGTGTCCCACTGATATACGTGTCTGGCTAGGCAATCGTTTATTTCGATCTATTGTCATTGTACTGTGATTGACTGATTTGTTTCCACACTCGTTAATTACATTCTTTAAGCTGGGGTTTTGTTGGCACATGGATGATAGAATCGCAAGCGTGCTTCTGGTTCTCTATCTCACCTAATATTCGCAAACTCTTATAGCCATATGCTTGTAAATTAGCCATTTTTCTGAGTTACGGTGAACAGTAGACAGGAGTGTAGTCGCACGTTATCCTTTTTTTCTTTGTTTTGTTTGAAGTGAGAATGTGATATGAATGAAGATTACAGTTAGCTAGGCAACTGGACAAGGAAGTGAGAGTACGGGACCCATTTATTATCTTTCTATGGGACGGCTTCTTCTCTTCCTGTTTACCTTTCTTTCCTTTGGATCTCTTCCTCTGATGTGGACACCCTACCCGCTCGGTGACTCTCTTACAGCCAATAATGAATCCTCCTTGCTCGGTTAATTACCTGCTGATAGCTAAGGTACAGTTCGCTATTATGTGTAGTTATGTTACAGAGGTGGTCAAACGTAAAAACTAGAGTCTTCAGTGCAATCGAACATCATGAATGAAACGATCGGTTGTACGTCATTATCTGGACTTGTTGGTGCTTAGATGCGCACGTCAGAAGATCGGACATGTAAGTATGCAATACGAGTCCACTAGCTCTGTTTGACGCGGAGTCATTTGTGCTGATCACTAGTGCCGCACCTGCTAACCTACTGGAAAGCAAGGTCAATCTAGTACTAAATGACATTGGTAATGCCCGTTATAACTTGATGTATGTGGGTGTGGCGTGCAAAAGAAGGTTTAACGCGCCTTGTCACACTCACACACCTTCCAAATGATGCAAAGGCACTCGCTCACCTGCGGGCTGCGCCCAACGTTCCTTTTAGCTGCTTCCTTCCCTTTAATTTCCATCGCTGATGGATTCCTTTTGAGAGAATCAAAATCCTTCCTTTTCACTTTTTGTATCGACGAAAGGCGTTTTCTCCGAGTCCTTAACAAAACTTGATTACCTTTCAATCAATCATAGCTTCTTTTGGAGCTTACCACTCACCACCATCGATCACCAGCTCCACCATCATAATCCACCCCTTTGAGACATACACCATGCTTACAAAGCTGAAATTAAGTTAAGCAGCAGGCGACCGTGCAAAGTCTAGTAAGCCACCCAAAAGTGAGCAGCAGCAACCAACAACTGAACCTACCCTGCTCTGCTCACACTGTCAGCCGATGCTGATCACCTCCTTCCAATCAATCAACCTGCCATTGCTGTACATGAGCCACACCACCATCTGAGCTCATATATAAACCCCCTCCCCACCCGCTGCCGCGACCTCCTCCCAGCCATTTCGATCGATCAAGGAGAGCAAAGAGGGGATGTCGGTGATCAAGGATTGTGGGGGGCACAAGGGGTGCGAGTGCGAGAAGGAGAAGGTGCACCGGCGGCTGTGCTGGGCGCTGGTGGCGCTGGTGCTCCTGACGCTCTTCATCGTGCTGGTGGTGTGGCTGGCGCTGCGGCCGCACAAGCCGCGGTTCTACCTGCAGGACCTGTCCGTGCTGTGCCTCAACGTGACGCCGCCGGCGTCCGCCTACCTCTTCACCACCATGCAGGCGACGGTGGCGGCGCGCAACGACAACGGCCGCGTGGGCGTCTACTACGACAAGGTGGACGTGTACGCGCAGTACAAGGACGTGGCCATCACGGTGCCGACGAGGCTCCCCGTGGAGTACCAGGGCCACTACGACCAGTCCGTCTGGTCCCCCTTCCTCCAATCGCTCGACCACGTCGTCCTCCCCCCCAACCTCGCCGTCGCCCTCGCCCAGGACGAGACCGCCGGCTACGTCCTCGTCGACATCCGCCTCGACGGCTGGGTCCGATGGAAGGTCGGCACCTGGATCTCCGGCCACTACCACCTCCGCGTCAACTGCCCCGCCCTCCTCACCGTCAACGACGGCAAGGGCAGCTACGGCGTCAACTACGGCGGCGGCGATGGCTACTTCCGCTTCCAGCAAGCAGCTGCATGCGCCGTCGATGTCTAGCTGTGTCTTCTTTCTTCATTTCCTCCTCCTCCTTCTCTTCTTCTTTTTAATTAGTTTCACGGCTTCTCTTCTTCTTCTTGCTTAATTTTTCTCACCGGAATCAATCATCTCATATCAATGAAGAAAAACCGATCGATGATAGTACTAGCTTCTTAATTTAGACCGTAGTTGGTTTGGAGCTAGTGTAGCTTGGAGTGAAAGGGAAAATTGGGGTATTCTGAAAAGATGCATAATAGACGTACAGCTGGGAGTAGACGTGAAGTGTCTGCATAATTCGATTTGCATTTGGCAATAATTATATTCCAATGTGAGTACATCAATAATTAAAAAAAATGTTCATATGTACACCTGTGTGTTTTGCTCGTCTTGCCTTTCGATTCTCTCTATAAAAAAAATTGAAGAAAAGAGACTATATTCGTGTTAGCTTGTGCCTGAGATATTTGACCTTTATCTTGGACCTCATCGATCAGCTTTTAGTTTAGTAAAGCGCTCCTTTGAAAACGAAAATCTAATAAGCTAGCGATCGATCGATGAGAGAGTTTGTTACGAGTGTGGACCAATGGGCAGATTGCTACTAGCTGGCCTTCCCCGTTGTGTGCCGGGGAGCCACTGCACGTCACTGCACATGCCGATGGCGACTCACTCTTATTATTTGTTTCGCCATCTTTTGCCAATTTTTCTTGCACAGTGATTGACGATATGTCATGCATTTCCTTTTTATATATTTATCATCGGAATTATGGAAAGCTACTTTGCTAGCTCTAAGCACGCGTCAACCCCAGCATCACAGCATGTGATGACTTAACAGCTAGTACTCCCTCCGTTTCAAAATATTTGACACCATTAAATTTTTAGCACATGTTTGACCGTTCGTCTTATTCTAAAACTTTTGTGAAATATGTAAAATTATATGCCTACATCAAAATATATTTAACAATGAATCAAATAATAGGAAAATAATTAATAATTACTTAATTTTTTTAAATAAGACAAACGATCAAACATGTGCTAAAAAGTCAACGGCGTCAAATATTTTGAAACGGAGAGAGTATTAGTATACTTCATTGACTACTAGCTTGTGATTCTTTCACAAGTAGTAAGTAAAGTGGTCTCTGTTAGTTCTTCATGGAGACTAGATGAGGGGTGCTAAAGCTTCTACTATGGAGATCAGTGTCGTCATGATCGACCAACTCATGGTCTAATACAAGTAAAATTTAATTGCATGATGGAGCATTATAATCCATACATACACTTTGTGATCTCGCGTGTTAATGATTAAAATGCGTGCCAATTTGGCATGGTTGGTGGATGCGACCAAATTAAACCAAACGCTACATGTGCTTTTGTTAGGGCACTCATAGTAGCTTACACAGTTTTAGTTGGTGGCACACACGTATACAGATCACTACTACCATCTGCTCTTCAAAAAATATGTTCTCTATATAGATTTAGATCACCATCTTTAATTAATCTTAGTAAATACTGGTACAGGAGAATGGAGAGTAGCAGATAACGCTTTCAGTTGCAAGTCCCTTTCGCTCGATTGCCTCGCACCAACGTAGGTAGCTATAGCTGCTTGCCCTTTGCAGAGCATGGTTGCAAAAATATTCTGCAGAATACCTGCTGGCCCTATCAAAATCAATTCGATCGATAGCCTGCTTTGAGGCTTGAGGTTTGGTTATACAGTACACATACTTTAAGAGTGTTTTTAAGTGGAGGGAAAAAAAGAGAAAATTCATATACGTAAAACGATACGAGCCATTAGCATATATGATTGATTGATTATTGATTATTTTAAACTTAAAAAATATATTAATATAAATTTTCGATAGGTCAAATCCTATCTTAGATAGTAATATTTTAGGATGGAGGAAGGGTTTTAGAGAACTTATAGCAACTTTAACTTATTTCATAATCTATGGCTTCTCCACATAGTTAGTTTGTTTGCATAGAGTTTCATAATCAATAGTTGTAAAATCCAAAATAATATAAATTAAGAGCCAAAAGTTGAAAAAACCTGATTTTTTTCCAAATTTTCAAAAGTTTGATACTCATCAGCTGCTTCTTACAATCTCGAGAACCCCAAGAGGTTCTTATACTGTACATAGGGTGGTAATGGACCTAACATTTTGACCAACAAAATGTGAGGGTTGGGTCCAAAAATGGTTGGGTTGAAATTTAGTAGTTTTTTTTTTGTGCTAAAAATATTTAAGGGAGGTGGGTTGTGAAAGAATCCATGGGCCCTAACTGTACACCATGCCTGCTATGTATATTGAACTGTACCTTTCTGTGTGGTTGAGATGATGATATAATGCTGAGACAGAGATAGAGCTGGCTCCATGCATGAAGAATGTCGTGCCCATAAGGGCTTATAATTTGGGGGCGTACTGCCTGCTTACCTGCTATATATGTACTGTAGCTAAGCTAAGCTAGTACGTATGCATGTATGTATTCGAATTTGAAAAGGTTGATCATAAGCAGGTAATTATAAGCAGGGAAGCAGGTATGTATGTACGTGGTGGCCGGTGGGTAAGGTTAGGATGAGCGGTAGAGTGAGGCACTAGTAGCACACTGTAGTCTAGTCCTGCAAAGAAAGAGCTTTTGATCAAGTGCGAGTGACTTTAGCTGCTAGTTTCCTTGAGGTTTCTTCGAAAGGGGGAAAGTGAAAAAGGCAAGGGTGATTGGCTGCTATTCTAAGGGAAGACCCTCCATCACAGTCAATATATATATATTCGGCAATGTATCCCAAACAAGATGAGAATATGAGATTGAGCACATGGTTGAGTGAATGACGATATTTGAAAATGCCGTTTATTTGGGAATTGTGATCGATACAGCATCTGCCGATCAACATATGCATGCATACATCTGCCCATCCGGCCACTGAATATAGGATTGGTGATTTGGTGAACGCAGCGCTGGTGAACAAAAGAAAGAGGAAAATTTTGGAGGAAGGAACAGGCAGAGTTGGATTGCCAGTTGTGCCACCCGACGGAGCGACTGGGACGAGCAGGAAAGTGGATGCAAATGCAATCACACACATTGACTGGGTCAGTTACGGCCCGTCGCGCTAACGCGGATCGCATTGGGCTGCTGGCCTCTTGCGCGGGGTTACTGGGAATCCGCGGGCCTTCTGCCCCTCGCCGAGCTCTGCAGGCGCATGGGCGAAAATGAGCCCGAGCTGTGGTGCTCAGCTTGGGCCACATCGTCACACTATCGGACGGGCCGTTTGTGGCCCAGGCTGCTGTTTCAAGGCCCTTAGAAGTCGCGAGCAGGTTGACTGTTCATATATCTTCTTTTTTTAAAAAAAAAATACACAGTACAACACTACAACGCAAACACACCACAGAACACCTCGCTGTCGACGGTTGCATCACCTACCATTGAAAGCACAAAGCCATTAAATCCTAAAAAATTCGCTCTCATGGGGAGTTGAACCCACTGTGACCTATGGTTCCACTGAGGCTCGTGTAACCACTAGGCTACAGGCTCTTTCGCTTATGTTCATATATCTAATATCTAAATGATCTATTATATTATTAAAGGAATAGAAAAAGGAGCCTCCACGTTCGCTCTTATGGCCTAGAAATTCTCACATTAATCGAAGAAAAAGAAAAGGCAGAGTCCAAATAGAAATACAATTTAGAAATAGCTGAAATTCGAAATTAAAAAATAAGGAATATTAGAGGGGAGACTAGAGTCCATATAGAAATACAGTTAGGAAATAACTAAAATTTGGAATTAAAAATAAGGAATATTAGAAGTAGAGTATAGAGTCCATATAAAAATACAGTTAGGAAATACCTGAAATTCGGAATTAAAAATAAGGAATATTAGAAGTAGAGTATAGAGTCCACATAAAAATACGATTAGGAAATAACTGAAATTTGGAATTAAAAATAAGGAATATTAGAAGTAAAGTATATAGTCCATATAGAAATACAATTAGAAAATAATAGAAATTTGGAATTAAAAATAAGGAATATTAGAGGTAGAGTATAGAGTCCATATAGAAATACAATTAAGAAAAAAAAATAGAAATTCAGAATTAAAAAATAAGAAATATTATAAGTAGATTATAGAGTTCATATAGGAATTTAAAAATAACTCAAATTTGGAATAAATATAATAAAATTAAATAAAATTAAAAGTAGAGTTTACAGTCCGTATAAAAATAAAATTTACAAATAACTAAAATTCGAAATTAAGAAAAACATGGGAAGAAGAGCTTAGGAATACACTTTAGAAGTAACTGAAATTCGAAACTAAAAATTAAAGAATATTGAAAGATGAGTTTAGAGTCCACATAAAAATACATTAGAAATAATAAAAATTCAGAAATAAAAATAAATAATATTGGAAGAAGAGCATAGAGTCTATATAGAAATACAATTTATAGAAAATTCGGAATTAAAAAAACAATATTAAAAGACGAGTCTAGAGTCTATATAGGAATATATATAATTTAAATAAGGAATAGTAGAAGTAGAGTATAGAGTCCATATAGAAATACGATTAGGAAGTAATAGAAATTTGGAATTAAAAATAAGGAATATTAGAAGTAGAGTATAGAGTCCATATAGAAATACCATTAAGAAAAAAAAAATAGAAATTCGGAATTAAAAAATAAGGAATATTAGAAGTAGAGTATAAAGTACATATAGGAATTTAAAACTAACTAAAATTTGGAATAAACATAATACAATTAAAAGTAGAGTTTAGAGTCCGTAAAAAATACAATTTACAAATAAATAAAATTTGAAATTAAGAAAAACATGGGAAGAAGAGTTTAAAGTCAATATAGGAATACAATTTAGAAGTAACTGAAATTCGAAATTAAAAATTAAAGAATATTGAAAGATGAGTTTAGAGTCCACATAGAAATACAATTAGAAATAATAAAAATTCAGAAATAAAAATAAATAATATTGGAAGAAGAGTATAGAGTCTATATAGAAATACATTTTACTGAAAATTCAGAATTAAAAAAAAGAAATATTAAAAGACGAGTCTAGAGTCCATATAGGAATATATATAATTTACAAATAACTAAAATTTGATATTAAAAATAATTAATAACTAACACGTATATAAAATACAATATGAATATTACACATTAGCAATTTTATAAAGTTATTGCAAAATTTAAAATTATGTCGTCATTTTAATATATTTGAATAATATAATGAGAAAACATATATGCTATTATATGAGAGAAACATACTAGTTATTAATCAAAGGAAAAGGAAAATTCGTGGTGAAGTCTTCACGCGTCACGCGTCTTTGCGCGATAAATTGACTACGAAACGATTGCTTGTTTGAGCTAAACAGCTCAATACCCGGTAGAGTTTGGACGAAATTTCCCGTTGAAACGCTAAACAAATCTATATTGAAAGCGACACGTGAGCGACGTGGGCTTGAGTGAATCGAAGAAAGTGGCAAGCAAGCGCGGCACAAGCGAACGTTTCAACGGTGACGAGTCGCCCCAGATAAACAATGCCGCGCGCCCCCCGCCGTTGCAATCAGACACGTACAGCGCAGCAGGCTGTGTCCCTGCGGTTTATACTGCTTCTTCCTCTTTGATTTTGGGGTTTGTTGGAATCATGCCACCTTAATTCGGTAAAATTTAAGATATACCACCCGTATCTAAATGATATGTAGGACCCACATGAGTCAATGACATGTGTGTCAGGGTGGCATATCAAAATTTGTGTGGCATGGTTCAAATTTTCCCTTGATTTTGGGTGCGCTCGTTCCTGCGGGCAACCGCTCCTGTCAGCTTGTTTTTTCACTCGCATGCTTTCCAAACTGTTAAACGGTGTATTTTTTCAAAAAGCTTATATATAAAAGTTGCTCAAAAAATTCATATTGATTTATTTTTTTAAAAAAATAGCTAATACTTAATTAATCACGCGCTAATAGCTTTGTCGGTGATATGGGCCCGGGGGTATCATGTTTAGAGGGAGGAGGTTGCCCCCCAATGCCACGTGGCCCTCCCCCAAGGGGAGTCAGGCCCGAGGTGGGGTGGCGGCCACTCCCTGATCGAGACTAGAGGGAGAAGGCTACCCCAGGCGCCACATGGCCCTCCCCCGAGGGGTCGGGGGAGCCCGACCCCCTCTCTAGGTCACCACGTACGGTGGGTTAGGTGTCCGCCTACAGGTGCCCACCTACCCGTATTTATGGCGACCCGAGAGGTCGCGCCACGCCGCATTTAATGTGGCGTGCAGTGTACTCAACCGGTCTGTGACCGGTCGAATCACCGATGGGACTGGGTAGTGCACCTGTGCTGCTGCTTCGTGTGTTAGATGTCGGGGAGTGATCTCCTCCACCAGGGAACCGTGAAGCCCCCCTTTGTGAGTTCGGCCGGGGGCAGCGTGTGAGATTCGAGGGCTTGGTGAGCGAAGCTGTGTGATCTTGAGGGGGTTCTATCCCCCAAAGACGATGAGACAAAAAAGGTTTATACAGGTTCGGGCCGCTAAGTAGCGTAATACCCTACTACTGTGCTTGATTGATTGAGTGTAGAACACAAGTGCTCGGGGTTGCGAGACCCAAGTGCCGGTTCGCTCGGAAGTCCCCCCCTCTCTCACTAGGCCTGGACCTCTTTTTATACCTCAAGGGGTTACCACATTGGCCCAACAACCTAACTTCGTCGAGAAGTATTACAATCTTTGCATTAAATGCATGTCTTGTTCCTTAACTTTGAAGCTGCATACACGTCGCCTCGGTCGTGGGGCCTACCAAACCATGCCGCCTGACACGGGGGGCGCCCAAGTCATTCACCATTTAATGGGTGAAGACTTCTGGGCTCCTATTACACCAGGAAACGGGAGCCTAGCTTTGATCAGAGCGGGAGGGCCGACTCCGGCTGGGATAAGAGGATGAGAACCTCTCACCATCATTATTTGATGGGACATGTCAGGCTGCACGCCGCCTGACACACGAGCAGCGCACAAGCGCACTAGCCAGTCCCATCGGTCATTCGACCAGTTACAGACCAGTTGAGTACACTGCACGCCGCATTAAATGTGGCGTGCCGCGACCGCTCGGGTCGCCATAAATACGGGTAGGTAGGCATATGTAGGCGGACACCTAACCCACCGTACATGGTGACCTAGAGAGGGGGTCGGGGGAGCCCGACCCCTAGTCACGAGAGGGGGCCGCCGCCGCCCGACCTCGGGCCCGATCCCCCCTCCGGCAGCCTCCTCCAATTAGTCTTTGGGTAGGAGAGGCCACCACCCCACTTCGGGCCTGACTCCCCTTGGGGGAGGGCCACGTGGCATTGGGAGGGGCAGCCTCCTCCCTCTAAATATGATACCCCCGGGCCCATATCACCGACAGTAGCCCCCGGCGTTAGCCCTGACCAAAACCTTTCCCAGGTGGTCAGGGTTGACGCCAATCTACTAGTCAGTTGACATGTGGGCCCGATCTTCTGTCCTATCATTCTGGGAGTTGGGCGGTGGGAGTTTAGTCACGTTCATACGTCGCCTTAACTTCCCACTTTCCTCCCGATTTTCGAGGCGCTGTGGGCTCGGGAGTTTAGCCCGTACCTTAGGCCGTGAACTTATTTCCTGTATATACTCAGCAAACATTGTTAGATTCTCTCGGGCCCGTGACCTTACGCCGCGTACCTTGCTTGCCCCTGCCTTTTGTTAACCTCTGTTTGCGTTCTACTTCATCTACCCAAACGATTATTTTCACATGAGTGTGAGGACTGAACTTTCCATAGCCAACAATCTTTACCCGCGATCAAACTAGGCTGGGCGCCGTAGCCAGCCGGCGGGGCCAAAGCTAGCTGCTGCAGAAGAGTCAGCACAAGGGGCCCGGGCGTCGACGGCGACCAGAGCTCGACGCAGGGCTAGGAGAGAGCTAGGAATCGTAGCCCCCACACTTTTAGCAAAGAATCGTTTGAATGGATGAAGCGAATACAAACTTTTTGGTACCAAGGGAGGTAAACCAGCGCGCGACACGTGGGTACCGCGGGACCGCGAGGAAGAGATGGGCGAGAGATAAATATAAGCAATAATAATTCTATGTGAGCGATTATCTTCGCGCGAGTGCGAGAACTAAACTTTCCATAGCCAATAATCTTCACCCACGATCAAGCCAAGCTGAGTGCTGTAGCCAACCGGTGGGGCCAAAGCCAACCGCTACGGAAGAGCCAGCACAGGGGGCCCCAGACGTCGACGACGCCCAGAGCTTGACGCAGGGCTAGGATAGAGCTAGTAATCGTAGCCCCACACTTATAGCAAAGAATCGCTTATATGAATAAAGCAAACATAAACCTTGCTTGCATGTCGCGACCTTTCAAACTTTTAGCTCGAAGAGGGCCTCCCATCATGGGTTCCCAACCATTTTGGGAAGCCTACGACCACTTAGCAAACGAGGTCAGGTTCCCACGAGCCTGTGTCCCCACGCTACACATTCTGTTTGCTCTTTCCTTTCGGTGGCCTCCTTCCAATATCTCATTTTCTGGTGGAGGAGTTCATTCTCCGATAAGCCTGCTCCGTTTTCCGTGCCAAAAGGATTATTTCCCGTCCCTCACTCTCGATTGGGCCCTTTATTTTTCAACTTGTCTTCGCCTGGTACGGCGTCAGCAAGGACTAAACATCCATTAACAAAAAAAAACCTTAAGAATTTGATATAATCTTGATCATCATGGGCAGAGTTTGGGATGCGAAAATATTAGCAATATCCTCGTGGTGGTTGCTGCAGCAAAAAGAAATTGGCCTGCAAAAGCGTGGCGCGTGTTTTTTTTTCTTTTTTTTAAGGTATAGGACAAAACAAATAAAGCGAGAGTTCCCTGCGTTTAAAGTGGTGTCCGGTCAAAGACCAGGCATCCAGCGGAGCGTGGGTTGGGGTCTCAACCACCAGCCAAACGCCGCCACAACGGCTACAACTCCACCACACTCCCCGCATCATCAGGGTCGCACACACACACCACCATGTCATGTGCCCGCCCACTACTACCACTTCGCCTCCTTCCCATCGAGGGCGAGGCGATCACACCACGACCCGGCCAAACTTTGTTAACCCAAACCAAAAAACAACAACACCTGCCAATTACTCCTCGCGGTTGCTGCCGTCCTGCAATGCAGCCGAGGCTATCAGCAGTTAATCGGCCACGCGCTTTACACAATTATTATAAACGCGTCGTTGCGACCCCGACCTGGAGTACTTATAACCCACCCGATCCACCACAAACACGTACACAAACCACAAACCCGCATCGTCTCCTCCTCCTCCACTTGTTGTTCAATTCCCCCCCCCCCTCTCTCTCTCTCTCTCTCTCCGTCGCAGATCTCGGCAAGGGGGCAACAAGGTAGGAGGCGGCGATGGGTTCGGCGAGCCGCGCGGTGTCGTGCCTGTGCTGCCCGTGCAAGTGCCTGGCGTGCGGCCTCTTCAGCTGCCTCTGCAGCATCCTCATCTCCCTCCTCGTCACCCTCGGCGTCCTCGCCCTCATCTTCTACCTCATCTTCCGCCCCCACATGATCGCCGCCACCGTCGACTCCGCCGCCCTCACCCAGTTCACCCTCTCCACCAACTCCGCCCTCGCCTACAGCCTCACCGTCGACCTCACCGTCCGCAACCCCAACAAGCGCGTCGGCCTCTACTACGACAACGTCGAGTCCCTCGCCCTCTTCGACGGCCAGCGCTTCGGCTACGCCCCCCTCGACTCCTTCTACCAGTCCACCGAGGCATCCACCAAGCTCTCCCCCGCCTTCAAGGGCCAGCAGCCGCTCCAAGGCGACATCACCGCCGCCAACTTCAGGTCGCAGCAGACCGCCGGCAAGTTCGACATCGAGGTCAAGCTCAACGCCAAGCTCAGGGTCAAGGTCTGGGCCTTCAAGGTTCCCGGACCCAAGGCCAAGATCAGCTGCCCCATCACCGTCCCAGCGTCCGCCCCCAACGCCCCCGCATTCCAGCGCACCGACTGCAAAGTCTGGTTCTGATTTCGATGGTTGGTTCCGCTTCGCATTTGGGGATTACTATTAGCCAGCACTGCTTCCAGTATGGACGGATGGATTCTTTTGTTTCTTTCGATTTGTTGATGAGGGATTAGCTCGCCGGATGTTGCTGTACATCGCTGTGGTTTAGGTGGTTACATATCTTCTAGCCCTTGTAGCTAGCGCTTGTCATGCACATATTATCGATCCATGTCTTGTTCTTCTTAGTTTTTTCCCCTTTCTTTTGGGTACGGCTTACTTACTGCTGTTCAGATCATATATGACTGTATGTTGGTTGATACATTCAGAGATTTTATTCAGGATCACCTATTACTTCTATGAGTGACATCTATTATGATTCCTTGGTTGATTCTGAGTTGTGCCACTTATTACGAGTGCCTTCTTACTGAGATACCAGTGTTCAATTGTTCATACATCAGAGCTTCTCTGCTTTTTTTTTTCATTTGTTGGATTGATCTTTGCCACGGGCAAGCCGTGACGTGATGAAATTCACAGGTCAGGTGAGCACCCCACATAATCGTATAATGAAAAAGTTTCAAAACTTTACCTTCAAAAGAAAGAAAGAAAGAAAGAAAATCGTTTGTTTCAGAAAGAGCATCTCCTTTTCACTTTTCAGTGCCTCTCCTCTCCTTGGTGCTGGTGGAGTGGTGGATGGATATCTATCCAAGTCTTGCCGAGGATTTTCCTTTCTTCTAATGGTTGGAACTAATCCAAGTGTGGGCGTGGTGACAGCGATTCTTTTGTGTTTTTATTTAGGTTTGCGTCGTTGTCATCCAAGCATAGAGACACAAACAACATCGTCGTTTTCATTGACGGATGCACTCGCGACAGGCCAGCAGCTTCTGAATTCGATATCCTTCTAAGTCAGGGCACTTGTGCAGTTGTGCAACTAACACCCGGCTTTCAGGTTAGTAGCAGTTTGCCAGTTTAGCTGCTTTAGCACGATAGCGCGTTACCGATTTCCTGTGAAGCAGGCAACCAAATCAAAACTACTCGGTGAAATTATTCGTGAAAATCATTAATTAAGAAGTGGTTGGATAATTCTCCAGCACTCGACCACGATTGACAAGCAGGACAGCGAAAAGCATATATGCCGCATTCATAAACGTGTGTGCCCCGGTGCTCTGCTAAATTCCAACGACAACGATCGGAATCACATGGAGATAGGATGCAACTAAAACCTCATCTGAGCAGCTCACCTGTTTTTTTTTATTCCTTTCTTTGATAAGATTACCTAAACACCAGTAGAAACACAAAAAAGGCTGGTAATAACTATACCATGACAAAAGGGGGGGGGGGGGGCAAAGAAATCGCTTGTGTGCTTCTTCTACTGTAAATATAGCCATTGAATTTATGGTACAGACGGTGCAATTGCAGTATGGTCGGTCGAAATTCTGGTTTCTATGGCCAAAAAAATCTTTCTTGTGTGCTTCTCTCCCACTGTAAATATAGCCACTGAATTTATGGTGCAGGCTGTTCAATTGCAGAATGGTCGGTCGAAACTGTGGTTTCTGTAGCCAAAAAAACTTGCTCGAGATGGAAACACCCAGAAGAATATTCACAGAGAGAAAGTACGTTCTGTCTAAACAGAAGCGGACCTGTACCTCTCGTTCTTTTGGGCCTTTCGGCCTCGTCTCCTCCTTTTGGGCTGTCTGTACTACGGGCCTCCCCTGGTTCCTTCAGAAATACTGGGCTTACTGTTGAGGCCCACAATACTACAAGAATATGGTGAGCCCATCTTAGCATGGGCCTCATTTTTTTCCTTTCAAAAACATCTAGTAGTACCAGCAGCAGAATAAATTCAGTTTCTGTTCTTTTTGTTGTAGTACAACTTTGACTCAGTTGGCCACTTGGCAAGAAATAATTCTGGATTTTGAATCATTCCTGTAGAGAGAGCTGGTGTACGGTGCGAATGCTATCCTCCATACTCGTTTTTTTTTATCATATTCTACTCCAAGAAAAACTGCTATAGCTTTCCCCCCATATGCGACATCAGTACTGTATGCACGGGCTGGCGGTAAATGCGAAAAGGGTACCACACTACCACTGCATATGTGAAGCAGACACGTAGTAGCAGCGACCCTGCAGCTGCAAATGGGCGGCACATGCTTATATTTACACCGCCACAACAGTAACGTGAGTTGTTGGTAGGATAATTCTAGAGCTCCATCGGTCAGAAGCAGCAATGAACCCATCGACACAACACGTACCAGATTGCACCCAAAAAAAATCGCAGGATCTAGCGATCTCAGATCAAACACTTCGAGAATTACACTACCAAGAACTCGTACAACAAGAGAGGGGTAGAGTAAATACTCTCTCGTGCTTTCTCTCTTTGCCAAAGCAAAGCAATCCCAAAAGGAAAAGATACAAACATCGTCTTTTCCCTCGTCTTTTTCTTCATTCCGCTTACGGACACTAATAATGGAGTATCTAATCTGCCTTTGCAACCACAAACTGACGGCGAACGCATCCACACACGCCACGGCCACGCCATTGTAAAAAGAGATTCACATCGAGCTAGTAATATCTTATTGTTCATAAAATGCGCTTCATCTCTAACCTCGCTCTAATACGGGACACGCTAGCTAATACAATTACTACTAGAAAGCTGCATAAACGCACAGCTTTATCATCAACTAACTTTTTTTTCGTACGTGGAGTACGTAATTAATTAACTCGATCAGCACAAGCCCCCGCCATTGCCATGGATTGGAGCTTACGACGACGAGGCGCATTGCTGGCGCCGGAATCCGAGCCTCTCCTTCTCCAGGTCGTACTCGATGTAGTAATTCTGCTGCTGGAAGCTCCCAAGAATGATCGCCGGCCCGCCGGAGGAGACTCCGGCGCCGCCGGAGCTGGTTGGGACGTCGCTCACCACGGCAAGGCAGATGGCCTCGGCCATAGCCGGAGCGCCGCCGCTCGGAGCCGGTCCGGCCACCACGAAGTAGTTCTCGACGGGGAGGTTCATGACGGAGCCGCCCTTGAAGTGGAGCGACATCTCCGGCAGCTCCATCGTCTTCGTCCCCGGCGGCATCGCGAAGCAGGGGCTGAGGCCGAGGCCCTCCTCCACCACCTTGGACCGGCTGTACCTCCCTCCCACGGCCGCGACCACCGCCGCCGCCACCGGCTCGAACACCGTGCGGTCGAAGTAGGAGAACGTCGTGCCGGAGTCGACGATGGCGCCTCCCCCGGCGCCCCCGGCGACGAACGCCCTCTCCGGCAGCTGCACGCTCTTCCCGCCCACCGTGATGGCGGTCAGAGCCAGGTAGTAGTAGACGGAGTACGGCGGCCTGGCGCTCGCGCTCCGAGCCAACGGGGCGTACTGCATCCCGACGCCACCGTCCTTACCACCCGCGCCGCCGAGGATCAGCTCGCCGCTGACGGCGGCGTTGTCGTCGAACCGGCGAGACAGGAGGCAGTAGGAGAACTTGGTGAGGCCGAGCTGGGACGGCACAGACGGCGCGCCGCGGCCGAAACCGGCGAGGCCGGACGGCGGCTGGTGCACGGACGCCAAGCTGCAGCCGATGACGAAGTTCCTGACGGCGCGGCCGGGCGTGCGCAGCGTGTCGGAGATGAGCAGGCCGGCGGTGGATCCTGAGCCGTAGACGACGAGGTAGGGCGGGCAGACGTTGTTGGCGTTGGCGTTCCGTGGCGTGCAGTTGGCGCCGGGGCAGGAGGAGGCGGCGCGGCAGTCGGAGAGGTGGTCGGGGGAGTGGATCCAGAGGCAGGAAGGGTTGCGGCAGCCGATGAGGCGGGAGGAGGAGGAGTTCTTGGGGTGGAAGACGTGGAGGGGGGAGGCCGCGGAGAGGGAGGAGCAGTTCGCACTGTAGGAGGAGGTGGAGGGGACCCAGGAGAGGTGGCTGCCGGTGTCGAGGAGCACGGGGAGGGGTTGCGGCGGCGTGCCGAGGGAGACGGTGAAGGCGTAGCCGCCGTAGGAGTGCGGGTAGAGCGAGGCGCGGACGGACGGTGGCGGCGCGGTTCCTTGGCGCGAGCGCGGGCGCGGGCGGGCGAGGTGCGCGGCGCGGGCGAGGGAGGCGGCGGCGAGGCGGGAGAGCGGGTGATGGTGGGGGTGGTCGGTGTCGGCGGGGACGGGCGGGAGGTTGCGGTAGAGCGGGAGCGTGATGGCGGTGGAGAGGAGGGGGAGGAGCAGCAGCTGCAGGAGGACGACTAGCGGTGGTGGATTCGCCATGGTGGTGTGCGCGTGTTGATCGATCGGCAATGCAGGGCAAGCTAGCTGCTGCCTACGAGCTCTCTGTGCTTTGCTTGTGTCTCTCTTAAACCGGGAAGTGAGAGTTTTCAGAGTTGAGCTTGATTGCGGAGGGCTCGGTTTGGCATATGTGCTTCGCTTGCGTTGGGTTGCATTGGTGGGGGCCGCACGCTCGATCGGTTCATGGATTTGATTTGGGATGCTCGATCACGGGCGCGGAGACATGGATGGTGAACGGTCTCCGCGGATGGAGTCCTAGCCGCGTCGGCGGATTCACGATCGGCGCCGCTCTCTGTTCCCACGTACGCGCGCGCGCGCGAGATGGTCGGTATCGGCCATGCCACGCTTTCACGTACACTTGAGCCGCGCGTCCACAGAAACATGATGGATAGTAATTAGTGCCACCAATGCATGTGGCACGCCCTCGGATGATTGGATAGTAGCGCACCTATTCCTCCCTTCCAGACACTAGAAGCGTAGTACGTGCCCTGCCACTGCGGGTTCTTATCATCAACACCGCCATGTGATGCTGCTGACGAATTCATATGCGATGCTTCTGCTATATGCATGTTCTTCTACCGCGCATCTAATTAACGTCACCCGTGAAATTAGAAAGGATTAATTCATCCGTCCTCCGCCACGACTGCTGCAATGAGTATCGCCACCACACAGTACAACTGACACAGCCATAAAGACGAAATGATATTGCACCTTCAATGCACATCTACCGCACACCCCAGCAACGCATCTATCCTAGCCAGTCTCCATGGACGTACACAAACCAACTCGTACAGTAGTCATCCTTCTTAGAAATTTCCCGAGGCGACAACTATCGACAGGCAGGAACCGCAGCTTTTGTTTATTTCTCTCCACTTTCACCAATTCACCATGCACGCCTTACTTTTACTTTTTTTAAAAAAAATATAGTACATCTTTGGATGGACCCGCGTCCATCAGATTAGATCCAACGGACCAGATGTAATGGGAGCTGCTATATCATAAGATCCCGTTCGAACAGTACAGAGATCGGATTTTGATACCTCATCCTATCAGCCGATACTTATTGGTATCATATATGATACTTATTGATATTGTATCAATGCTAGGCTAGTACTCCATCCGTCTAAAAAAAGACAAACCCTGATTTCATTGCCCAACGTTTGACCTTCCGTCTTATTTGAAAAAATTATAAAAAAAAATTAAAAATACCAGTTACGCATAAAATATTAATCATGTTTTATCATCTAACAATAATGAAAATACGAATTATAAAAAAAATTTATATAAGATGGACCGTCCAAGTTGGACACGAAAATCTAGGGTTTGTTTTTTTTTTTACAGAGGGAGTAGCTGATACCCGGTTAGTACCACGTCAGTATCTTTTTTTTCTCCCCCTCGATATGTTCTCCGATGACAACGACGTGCTGCCCAGTGACGTACTACCTCCGTTTTTTAATAGATGACGCCGTTGACTTTTTCTCATCTGTTTGACCATTCGTCTTATTTAAAAAATTTACATAATTATAATTTATTTTGTTATGAGTTGTTTTATCACTAATAGTACTTTAAGTGTGATTTATATCTTATACATTTGCATAAAAAATTTTGAATAAGATGAGTGGTCAAATATATAAGAAAAAGTCAACACCGTCATCTATTAAAAAAACGGAGAGGGTATCTCTCATCTCCGGCGAGAGCGACGTGCCCCTGTTGACGCGGGACTCTTCTCCGGCAAGACCCCCTTCCTTCCCCTACCTTCCTCTTCGGTGACGAACCCTCCACCTCGCGTAGGCATGCTTCATTGTACCGGAAGAAAGCACATCGTTTTGCCGACGAGAAGCTCTGGATTTGCAACAAAAGGCTGGAGCAAACTGGCTCCCCAACCCACACCCTTATGGAACCCTGCAACACCAAGAACATGTCATACACAAAAACAAAATCCTTGACCAACGAGCGCTGGGGCTCGCCAGCCTGATCGCCGAACGCAACCATAGCCATCGCCGCCCGTCGCACCGCTCCTCTCCTACCGTACACCCTGGAGAGATGGGGAAGAGAGGGAGATGGAGAGGAGAGAGAGGGCCGCTGACATGTGGAGCCCACATAGATACCACTCGCCATGTCAGCTAAAAATTGGTCACTATATTGCAGATGGACCAAAATTTAACATGGTATTGTGAATCGAGGGATATGCTATACATTGTATTTCTGTTGAGGGATGAAGTTCACACTCCGCAACAACTTAAGGGGCCTAAAGTGAACTTATTTCGTGTGCATATGCCACCATTTTCTCCGTGGGCCGTCAACGTTGATTCACATGGCCCATCTACTAGGCCGCAGCCCAGCCTACTAAACCAGTAAGCCCTAGCTCCGAACAACCCCTCGTCTGTCTCTCTTCCCCAAACCCTCCACCCAACCCGCCTCCTCGAGCGACGGCGCAGCCATGGCGGAAGCAGCAGCAGCACCTCCCGCCGCCGCCGCCACCAACTACGAGGTGGACCTCGGCAACCTCATGGCCTACGACCCGTCGCATCACCTCCCCGCCGCATCCTCCTCCAGGTCCGCACCCATCGCCGCTACTGCTATTGTGCCGTGCTGCTTTGATTCCGTGACCAAGTTTCCCGGGGTTGCGCGCAGGGAGGAGCTGAGGGAGGAGTGCCTGCGGAAGGGGACGGAGCTGGCGCAGGCGGTCGCCGACGCCCTCTTCGCGCTGCCGGCCACCGAGGACCGCGACGGCCCCATGGTCCGCCTCCCGCCGCCCACCACCCGCTTCCCCCGCGAGAAGCATGTAAGACCCGAACCTATCGCTTGCATACTCCTCTCCAATCTTTGTGATCTCCCAAGTATCATTTGCTGCTGCTGATCTGCTATAATCATGTATGTGGAGCCCTAAGCTTAGCTTCACTAGTGTGATTCGTTCGTGTGAATGAAATTGATACTTCGATAGTTCTCCTTGTATGGTTCACATGGTTCTCCTTGCTGACTTGCTGCGGCCATAACATTGAGATTCTCACATGTTCGTACTGTTATTGAGTCTTGTGACGGAATTTCGTAGTTATGTCCAACTTGATGCAGCTAAAGTTAGCTCTATATGGTGTCAAATCTTAACATGTAACTCAAGCGGCTGGCACAATGTTTTTTTTCTTGCTTATCTAGTTTTTTGGACAACACTAAATCACTAATCCATAAGAGTAGAAACATGCTGAGCGAACAGTTCTTTATATTGATGTGTGCATGTACAGTCACATATACAGACTGGAGAATACGATTTATTGCAGTGTTTCACTTCTTTAACTTATATTTCTTGTCTCCAGCTACCAAGGCCGAAGCCCCCTACTAAATGGGAGCAGTTTGCGAAGATGAAAGGTGAACTTTTTTAAAAAGCAAACGTTTTGTTCTTGTTGTTGCCTAATATTAAATGTATGTTTTCTCATTAATGTCCATATGTTCTCACTTCTCGATGGATATATGAATGCTACTTGCAGGGATCACAAAGCACAAGAAGAACAAACGTGAATGGGACGAGCAAACTCAAACCTGGAAGCGGACTTATGGCTATGACCGTGTTAATGATGATAAAGACATTCCAATCATTGAAGCCAAGGCGACAGATGGTTAGTAATTTGTCTTTCTTTAACTACCCTCTTCTGTGACAAGGATATTACCTTTTCCTTTGTTCAATAGCCTATTGCAGTTATCAATGCTACACACTCTTCTTCTTATATACAACATTTTATTTGTTTTAAAGCTAGCGCTCGTACACTACTTTAGTTGACCATTTCTAAATATTGAATGCTTGCCCTCAATTCATCTTAGATAGAGTCATTTTCTTTTGGGGTCCTTGTTTGCAATGACACTTGTTCTGAAATATGCATGTCTCCTAATCCTGATTCACCAATCTGATACCCCTTTTGTTGTAACTTTTCGCTACAGAGCCTGGTGTTGATCCTTTTGCTCAAAGAAGGGAAGATAAGAAGAAGCATGTTGAAAAGCAAGAAAAGAACAGACTAGAAAACTTGAAAAAAGCAGCCAAAGTTGGTGCTTTGCCTAGGTTGTTATCCTTTCCTAGTAGACATTGTATTTATCTTGTACATTCCTTTTCTGTGTTGGTAAACCAAGAGCCTTGTGTAAATCTGCAACGTAAAGTACATTTGTACAATGGCAGCTCAAGTTTTTCATATAATATGTCTTTTTTTTTATTTGCAGTCATATACAACTTGCTGCAACAGCGTTGCCTATCACGGGAACTAAAGCAGACATACCCAAAAAATCTAGAAAGAAAGATCTCGAGGATGTTGCTGGCATGGCTTCATCAGCAACAGCTAGTGGTGGGAAGTTCGATGAAAAATTGCCTGGCGAGAAACCTCCAAAAAATCCTGGCAAACATAGAAAGGTTTTTAATCTGAAGTTCCCTGCCTTTTATGTGCAACTATGCACCATTAAAGGATTTTATAAGTGCATTATCTGAATTGATTCTTTTCTGCAGTTCCTCCCTGTTGTTGAAGGAAAAGGAATGGGCAACCAGGAGAAACAGCAAAATGACAAAATCTTGAATGCTCTGCTGGCCAAAAGTTCTGAGGATCAAATGGATGTTGGCAGGGTAATATTCAGGATTAAATATCTTGAACTAATCTGTATATAATTTATTATCTTGGTATTGCCATTTGTTGACGGGGTGAACTAACAGCATCTATCTAAAAATTTGAAACCAGGCAATTACGATGTACAAGGTGAAGAAGGAGAAACAAAGGAGGAAAGATAAGGAAAAGTCTTCTTCATCGAACAAGCTGAAGCCCCAGAAGAAAACACTCAAGAAATCTTCGAAGAAAAAGGCTTAGGTTAATTACATTCTTCGGACCTGCTGTAGGAGGTGAGCATAGTTTTCGAGACTCAAGGAGAATTGGCAAATTTTGCTGTCTGTTTGTCCAATTTGAACACATCGGAGAAATCTTGTTATTGCAATTGTTGGTTATGATGTAAGAACCTGAATGCTATTATAACATGGTTGTCATGAATATGCAATACATATGCATTATAATTTCAAAAGTTCTGGAGTTCGTTTTGGTAACTTGTTATCAATCTAAAGCAAGGAACAGTTTTCTGATCTTATTTAGTTCTTGGATTTTGGTACCGTGTAACTGTGTATGTAGTACCTAGCAGATATTTTTTATCCTCACAATTACCTGAGTTGAAATTGATATGCCTATAATTTTCTAGTAAGGTATTGAATTTGCGAAATTCTATTGTGTTGTTACCAAGCTACTGTGTCGTCCCTCTGAATTAATCTCAGGACCACCACGCATAAAACATGTTAGATTTGACCTCCATTGTAAAGGTGAACATTTGTCTGTGTGTGCAAAATATGGTGTGGTCACGACACTGGGGAGTAGCCAGTAGGGGAGTAGATCAGTAGATTAGGGATGGTGGTGGTACCAGTTCGAATTAGGCTCATACAATTGAACGACAATTCGCTGACATACTACCAACCTCAGATTTGGTATACAGGAAGCATGTTGTTGAGATTCTGTGTTAATTTGCACTAGTGGTAGACCAGCATGTCTGTGTGTATGTATAGTTGATTGCTTATTCCTTGGAACAGCATATGATTTGGGCGCTGTTTCTGCCTCCCCTTGGGCAGTGTTGCCTGGTCCTTGCCATTCATTGTAGCCTCTCCCATGGTATCTTTTCGGTTGTAGGGTTGGGGCGTTTGCCAGTAGAGTTCGCCGCTATCGCCCCCGTGATTTCCTCCCAGGATGCCACCAAAAACAGTTTGCTTTCTGCTGCCACTCATCTATGATTCTATTCCAGTAGCCAAGTTATCTTGTTAGCTTGTGGAGATATCCTTTTGTTTTCGAGAGAAGAGAACATCTCAAACTTGAAATCTGCATGCAACTATTAAGGAGATCGGCCTGGGGATCACTGGTTTTGGAGTGTGGAGGAGTGCAAGGGCCCCTGTTTTTTTTTTCTTTTTCTTTTTCTGATGATCGATGCATGCCATGCTGCTATAGCTGGGCCAAGAGCTGCACTGTTTCGGCTAGGCTGTTGTGGTTTGGTTGAGGCCGCATCAAACAGTGGCGTCTTATATATTGGTGCGCCCACACATGCAAACAAATTTCTTGAGCCCGGCTTCGTGGTGCGCCATCCAAATCGTAGTGTCTCCATTTTGGCGTCTTTCACATGCACACCCTATCATCCTTTCCTTTCCATGCTCAACCAAGTCATGGGTAAATAATATATACGGCCTTCAGTTAAAATTTGCCAAAGTTGTTTTCTTTTCTTTTAGAAAAAACACAATACATACGTAGATGCTCGTATAAACACATGTAGCTATGAACATACACGCACACACTATCTCTATAAGCACATCTCTGAAGTTGATTTGAGCGAGCTAGTTAGGTTATTGCTTTGTTTTTCGCACAACACTCAAATTTGTCGAAGTTGATAGGCGTGGGGATTTTGAAATGTTGTTACTTCCTTAGACTACCCGCGGCCATTTTTGGCGCGAGTGGCAGGTAGTCTGCAGAGTTCACTGAAAGAGTGAAGCAGTACATTCTACTAGCTTGCCTGGCATTTCCAAATGAACTTCTGCTGCGTCTGAGCCATGAGTCCTGCGTTCCTGAACCCCAGTGGTGCATGAGGGAGTAGTGAATGGATGAGGCAGTACTACTTAACAGTAGTATACCCGCATCTTACAATAGAGCGCGTTTCGCGAGAATAGCATATTTTTGGTATGTACGTATGTCCCGTTTAAATTTCACGAGAAAAGTATGTTCAATTCCAATGTGGAAATTAACATGAACATTTTCTCACGATCTAAATTAGAGGCTTAATTAGCCCTCCTTTGAAATAGAGGGGTTTCAAAAGTTCGTAAAATTACTGTTCTCTAAAGGAGCCCTTGTAAGATCTAAGATGAATTTGGGCATCATTTAAGAACACTATATCACGAAAATCTTTTTTTTGACAGTGCAATGTCTAGCGCAAGTTGTTGATAACATGATGGATAGATTATATTAAGACGATGCAGGAGAGAAAACGACGGGTAACAACTAGTGCACGCAGAATGGAGTACGTAGTACACATTGACATTTGACAGGTGAGGACGAAATCTCGATCTCTCGCGGCAAAGCAGCAATATACAGCAATGCATCTCACTCCAACCCAATCAAACACACACACCAGTCAACACTGCTACAGCATCAATCATACCATGGCCATGGCATACATTATGCATGCTTCCAAGATCAATCAATCAAACGTAGTCTCTCGCTTAATTGCTCTACCTAGCTAGCTAATACAGTAGTAATTATTGTGCTCATGGATGAGCTATAGCCTTAGCTTAGTTAATCTGGCTGCCTTTCTGGAGAGGCAGCTGGAAGGCGGAGGAGGAGGCGGTGGCGGAGGAAGGAGAAGACGCGAGCGCCACGACCAAGTCGACGAATGCTCCGACGATGAAGCCATGGGTCTTCTTGCCGTTGGCCCTCAGGTACCAGCCGAGCATCTCCTCCAGCCACCCCCAGTCATGGCCCCCGCCACTCATGTGGCTCATCACCATCTCCTCCATCGACCGCCGGAAGTCTCCGTACGGGTCGGCCGAGTCGATGGACATCGCCGTCGCCCCGTCGAACGCCGCCGCGTCGGCGTCGACGGCGCGTCCCTTGACGACGATGGAGCTCGTCGACTCGGGCTCGAAGAAGAGGCGGCGGTTCGACGACCGGAGCCCGCGGATGATCACCTCGTCGTCGTCGTCGACGACGTCGTTGACGGCGGAGGCGGCGGAGGAGTAGGAGCGGCAGGTGGAGTGGTCGTCGAGGAAGAAGGCCGGGTTCATCACGCTCGTCTTGTAGACGCAGTAGTCGTCTTCCTCCTCCTCCTGCTGCCGCCGCCGCTTGCTGTCGTCGTCGTCTGCGCTTGCTGGGGCGTCGTGCCTGGCGAAGGAGAGCGTCCTCGCCTGCGTGCACGAAGGCCATTGCCACGACGACGCCGTGCTCGACGACGACGACAGGCTACAGGCATCATTGCCGCCGCCGCCGCCGCCGCCGCCGCCGAGGAAGAGAGAGGCAACAAGCTTCCGAACCATGGCTAGCTAACTCCTAGCTAGCTTACGTGCAGCTAGCTGTGTGAGAGTGATCGATCAATGGATGAAGCTTAAGCTAGGCTATGTCGGATGTCGCTGTAAACTGAGTTGGCCTTTTGGTCGGAGCGAGCTGCGCTTAGCTGTGCTTTTAAAGAGGCTGCTGCGGCGTGTGCAAGTAGCTATCAAAGATGCGAGCGAGCGAAAGCCTGTCTTCTTCTTCTCTTGCATTGCATGTTGTTTAATTAATTAGCAGCTACCTGCACTTAACACGTCTAATCTAATATGTTAGCTACCCATCACACACAGCTTAATTGGCAGCTACTGATACTAATGCTACTTAATTATAACTGAAACTTGTATGTTGTCGGTTTACGCTGCAACTGGAGCATAAAAAAAAATGTACGCATGCAGGTAAGGTAAGGTACCAAGTACGTACCATTTTGTCATTTTGAGAACGCAGATTTGCAGTCGTGGCTGTATGTATGAATGGCCAGCAGCAAACAGCATATATACCACATTGATACGGATGAATTACATGACCGGGAGGTGGAACCGCGCGCTAATTAATTAATTATATCATGTGTAATCGCACGGCCATCTGATCCATGTTTTCCTGTATTTTATAAGAGGTAGAAGTTGCTAGCTAGCTTGATATCTATTAATTATACATGTACAGTTTAGTCCACTGCTCGCATTGTTCTCTACCAGCAATACACGAAGAAAGCGCAGCGACGTTTCCCTGACACACAATTGATCGAAATCCAGGATCACACGCAGGCCGGTCAGGCAGCAGAAAATGCTAGTAGCTCTATAGTTTAATTCCCCTTGTGCATGCGTATCAGAAATGAATACTACATGCTGCTGCGATGGTGGCCGACTTGTCCTCTATGATTGTATAAATGGATTGGATCATATATATATTGATTCATATATAGGGTGGATGCGGCTGTCAATGCAAGAACTGTGCAGCCATGCATGCAGGAGGGAGGAGGTGGGGGACATGCAAGCGGTGTTTGCTGAATTTCTTTTTGCTTTTCATGTGTACTTCTCCGTGCCTGATGCTTGAGAGAATTATTTGAACTTGCCAAGATCCTAGCTTAGCCCATCTGTCATGTCTCGACCTACCTAGCTAGTCTCACCCAGTCAATTAATTAATTGGATGCTTTAGTTTCTTGATCTCCCTAAGCAAAATGGTTTGCACAAATAAACTAGCTGATGAACTCAACTGATGTTTGTAATTAGATAATGGTGATCAACTCAACTGATATATATAGTGATATGATATCATCTTTACTAGTGCCTGCAGGCCATGCACTGTTTTAGCCTTTAGACTTGAGTTCAGAGGTAATGACGGATGAATAGAGTCGTCTGAAACCTATGTCTTCTCATGAAGTTTAATGAACAGAAATGGCAGTACATAAAGGCAAAGACATGATATCAGAAATACTAAATGCGTTTCTCTGATGTTCCCGTCCTGATTTTGTATCTATGGTCGCGACCTCTTGTCGTAAACTTCCTTTTGTGTACTGCCAACTTGCCATTGTGCAGTGTTTTACTACTCTTTTCTGCATGTATTTTTTTTATTCAAAGGATTAGACCCCAAAATTAATTTAAGATTATTTATGCAAGCTTGCCTAACCACGAGACCGAATTTATTATAGTTCCACCTCTCTATATTTCTTTCTCTTCTACATCTGCGATTCTCATAGTACTATATCTCATTGATCATCGATGTCTGCATATTCAGATATGGCATGAAAGAGAAAACAAGCAAAGCGAAGGCATCATTCTAACTGAACCAAGAAACTTGTGATACATTAATGGTACTCTCTAGTAGTATCTACTAAGTAGGTGGCTGTTATGAACTAGTATGAAGTATTCCTAAAGAAATGAGATCTTCTAGGATCACGTTTGGTATACGAGATTCTAGTATTTCCAAACATTTCTGTGAACAATTTAAACATGGCTTCATGTATATGTACCAGCCAGTCAGTTACAAGTTGCAGCATATACAACATTCAGAGAGACAGAGAAATTGCTGTTGATTGCTTCATGCCGTAGACAAGCAACAAGATCTTATCTAGGATCTCGTTCTAACACCAAAGAAAAAAAAAGCTGGCATAAATTGATGTCTGAATGGCATAAATTTGCTTAGCAAAACATGCAGTTAGTGACAAAAGAGAAATCATGGCGTTTCACCGCTGAATGCGACGTGTCGACTGATGTACCACCAGGAACTCCATGCATGCTCCTCTCTGCTTTCAGTTTTAGCATTATGTTAAGTTGAGCAACAACTATCAAGGCATGCAGCTGCTTCCCAAAGACACAGAAACGACTGTTTATTGCAGCAAAAATTACTGAGGTGTTGTGCTGCGATTAGCTGAAGCTACTGGCTTTTGTTGCTGAGTAGCATTGTGTGTGTTGGTTCGTAGTACCAGTGAGTCAGTGTTAAAGCTGGTTGATGCCATTGCCTACTTGCACACTGTAGTACGCTGCAGAGAAGATGCCTGTGGCTGAAAGCCTGCATATGCATGCAGTATGGACTGTTTGCAAATAGTATTACTGGCAGTTAGATTACCCAAAAACACATCACCAGATGCTTTGCAGCAGCTTTCCATCGCGGAATCAACACCAGCTGCAATGGACAGGATAAGTGTCTTGTCATCGCCTCAAACACATGCTTCACGTTGATGGGTTCTTGTTTCTCCACCTCACACTTTCAGGCTAACTGCAATTCAAGCTCATTTACAGAGAATCGAGAAGCAAAGGAAGTTTTGTTCCTTCCTTTTGAAACTCCAATACAAACGAGATGACCTTGATTCAGAACTAGGAAGTTGATAGAAATGTACAGCAGTTTTTAAAAATGTGCTTGACAGGTTTGCAGTAAATTTTGGAGGCAGGGTAATACAGGAGAACAACGTGTACTGTTGCAAGGGCCATAAGCTTCTTACTAGCTAACAGATCCACTGTTATGGAACATGAAGAAACGCAGTTTTTTGTTTCTCATCATAAGTGGCAATAGGTCTGGACACAGTAATACATTGCCTGTTCATATATCTCCTGGTTGGTTGTAGCAGCTGCAGAGAGGCAAGGACCAGTGAGGGTGCCTTAGGTACTGTGCTTTCTTTCCTGGATCAATGATGAACACTTACTGTTTGTTAGCAAGATAAATTAGTACAACTTTCAAGGGTGGAAAGACAAATGATCAGATGAAATAATGCAAAAACATGTCCCTCCTCCACAGTATATACTGTTCCTTGTCTGCTATCCACTGCAAAGACAGCTACAAGAACAATGATAGGCGGAGAGAGGAAAATAAAAGATTGGAGCATCAAATCTTGATTCTGAATCTCAAATGGTCACTATCTCATTGTTTTATAGCCATAGGGTGCATCTGGGCTTGTTCTCTTGCTGGGCTCAATTGGCTTACACAAATTCAAAGGGATGTAGCGTGTCAGAGTTCCAGGAAGGATCTTCAGCAATAGAGCTCTCATTCCATTGATCAAATGAGGCTGTATATTTTCCAGATATGCTCCACTGGTATGATAAGGGGATCAAATCAACGATCCTAGATTGTTTAATCCATCCCTTCTATCCGTCCATTGGACCAACAATGATTGTTTAGCTAATCATCAGCTGCCTGAGCTTTTTTTAGAACTGTAAAACCTGAACCTTTTCTAGTCAGAGATGTGCTTGGACATGAGCGTGCTTCAGCTATTAAATGTTGATCCGATGGAATAAAATTTGACAGTCCCTAAGGAATATGTTCGAGAATCTAATGTCTACACTAGCCACAAACATAAAAAAATGGGATAAGATTTGCACATTGCCCATTCATCAGCATGTTCTTGGCCCTGAATAAGTACTGAATTGAAGCCTGTTTCAGTTATGTGGCCCAAAACAGCATTTTGAGAACTTCAACAAAAAAAATAAAGCATTTTGAGCTGTATACAATTCAAAAGGAAGGTGACCATGAAACTGAAAATGTTCGATGAGGTCATCAGTTGGGAGACATCGCGCAACAAAGCCGGTGATTTTCTTATGATTCTCGTGCGTGTCCGCGATAAACAAATGCATGTGCTTGCTTTGCTTGCACTGTGATGAGATGCAGCCTAACGCAGAAAGCAGGTCCAGGCACCAACTAACTTTAGATTGTGGAGTTGGGCATCGTTAGTTTGTCTCTTACATGTAGTACAAACAACCCACATGATGCTAGCATTCAGATAATGAGACATCATCATCTGGTACAATTGTTTCAGCTTAATACTTTTCTGAGAATGTAGGCGTCTCTGCAAGCATATCCTTGTCATCAACCTAACAAACACCTAACTGTTTTCGTGCATGAGAAAAACAATGACTAAGTAGTTCATTTCTTCTTAATACGAAAGCGCAATCCTTTTGCGTATTCCCGAAAAGTAGTTCATTTTTAGAGTTGAGTACAATTGTTTTTTTGGAGGTTCCAAGTTCGTCTCTTGCCTTATCCTCCATTCTGTATTGTATTTCAGAACGATACCTTAAGCAAAAACTCCATAATCGTATGGTGATGCCTAGAGTAATTAACATTCTGAACAGAAATTTTTATTCAACTGCATTATGCGCACGGTAATTAAGAATTTCACAATTGCTGCGAGCTTTCAATAGCACTACACATGAAGCAAAGAAAATGTCAGCAGAGGTGCAGAATTCGAAAGAGGTTCTTCTGATTTTGTCGAGGTAGTCTGATTGATGTGAAATGACATGTCCATAATATGACGAAAACAGGGCTACTCCTCCTTGACGAACCTTTTTCTTTATTACAGTACTCTAGTTGGCTCGAGGCAAAGAAGGACTTTCACCTGAGACAGAAATAGGGTACGATCATCTGGTGACTTCACTTCTTTTTACACAAGCACATCGATGATCGATCCTCTGAAAAGTTTGAACAAACTAGTTCAGCCTTTCAGCGCCTGGTCAGTCCACAAACCTTGCCATTCAAACTTTGTCATCGTGTATGATTTCATTGTTGTCATCATTTTCAAATTTTTTTTACGACTCACACCAGATAATATAAAGTTCATATTGATATAGCAAAAAAAAAATTATAAAATTATAACCCTAAAAGATTGTAATCAGAAAAGAAACAAAGAAAACAAACACAACGCCACCGAGAGTTCGCAGCTCCTCACACCACACACTAGAGAAAACACTAGCACCAAACCAACTGCCGCTAAGCGTGATCGATCGTCACTAGGCCAACAAGGGGGGTTGCAAACACCCCGTCTAACACTGACTCAACCTAGTAGAATGTTGAAAGGCTTTCGGTTATTCTCATGTGGAGGGGTTAAGGGGAGGAAGAGAGCAACAGAGAAGGAGATCCACTCCTCTCTCGCCCAACTTGATGAAGACAACCAAGAGCCGTCGGAGACCAATCAGAGAGAAGGAGACGAAGGCAAGGAACATGACCTAGACAGCGCCTTCCGGAAGGTCATGGCGTCTTAGACGTCACTGTTGCTGCTGGGGAGTCCCAAGCTAGGGTTTCGCCTGCAAACCTCCCTACCACACTTGCCACCGTCGCCCCCCGAGCTCCGCCACTTGCACAACCTCTGCCAACTCGACCTCAACCGCTCCAGCGCCCCACTGCCAGCCATGCTAGCCCTGGACTCTGGTGGACACATGCAGCGACGGCCTTCGCCGTCGCTGAAACGCCGGCCTCATGATCGTAGGTCACGGTGGCCGCCGTGTTGTCGCCTACGTTGTCCCCTCCTTGCTGCCGGCCGTGTCGTGCAGCCATCACCTACACCGTCCATCTCCGCCCGCCGTGTCGTGCCATCCATGACCATGCTTTCCTCGCACGGCGCCTTCTCATCATGCACGCCTTTCCTCGCGTGGCCCCGCACCTCTACCGGACCACCGCCATCAGGGGTCGTCCTCTCTTGATCTGGCTGCGGGGAGGCCAGATCTAGCCTCCAGCGGGATGGATCCGCTGCGCCAAACCACTCCGGCCGCCGGTCTCCGTACCCGACGCATGCCACCTCGTCTCCCATGCATAGGAGTAGCTTCGTCGGGGTTGCTTTCCCCGCCACCACCTTCCCGGTGGCAGTAAGGTGACGAGGGGGGGGGGGTGAGGGGGGTTGCGGCGCGGGTGGCTAGGGTTTTGCCCCCAAGCCGCCTGTGCGAGTGCGACACTAAGGTTTTTTTTTTTTACAAAATTTATCATCATTTCCCGTATGTACTTGATCACAAATTCAGTTGGGATCAGGGGCGGATCTAGCATGGGGTGGCGGGGTCTCGAGCCCTCACTACTGGCATGAAGACTATTAGAGCCCCCACGAAGACCCCACTAATGAATAGTCTCCTACGAAGACCCCACTAATTTTTTTACCATATGTAGATGGAAAGAGAACTGTAATTCTATCTAGTTTGCTCAGACCTCACTGCTATTTCTTTTTAGATCCGCCACTGTTTGGGATTCAATCATAGATGCGCCTCTTATTCGGATTTCAGTAATGTTTGAGAATGATGTTTCATTTTCTTAAACAGGGGCGGAAAATTATGCAGAAAGTCTGCAAAAGAATGGAGATAAGTGCATCCTGACAGTTCATCCTTCACCTTCATTTCAGGATTAATCTAAAACCTTATCCCCCCTGCATTTCCGGCGCAACTGTCAAGCACCTGTCCTGAATAAACTAGTAGCCACGGTGTAATCGACGAAACAAAATGGACTAGAAAACTAGTAGTATAATGCAGATTTGTTTGACTGTTTCTCTCATTGACCGGTCGGCTAACTGAACGAAACTAGCATGCCACGCATGAACTAGCACCCTGAACTCACACTCATCGTCTGACCTTAAAACGAGTCAATCTCACCGTTTCATTCATCATAAGTTCAGGACTACTGTAGCCTTTTTTTTTTCCTTCTTCATGCATAGGTGTGTTTAGTTCACGCTAAAATTAAAAATTTAATTGAAATTGAAACGATGTGATGAAAAAATTAAAAAATTTTATATAGGAAAATTTTGATACGATGAAAAAGTTAAAAACTTGTTGAAAAATTTGGAACTAAACCCGGCCGACCATAGTACACTAGTATGCACTTTGACCGAATGACACGCGCTGCTCGTTTGACTCCCAACATGCGACGCGATTCGCTGCGCTGCACACGGTGCGCATGGCCTTTTTTGCCTTTTTGTTCATACGACGCGTTTTTCTCTATAGCCGTTTCATCATGACAAACAACAGGGGAAGCCGCCCAATTTTTTAACGGTGAAAGTTTAAACCACCACACGAGAAAATCAACCGAATTTAACCAATCAATTAAACCATCTTTTTTTCCCTCTTATTATTACTGTACATCTGCCGAAAGAAATCCTTTCTTGCAGACGACGAATCAACAAATTTTACAGCGGAGGAGAGGAGATCGTATCATCTCGCTGCCACCAGCGGCAGCGAGGGTGTTTTGTTGCTGGGCATGTCCATGTCGAGCTCCAGGCCGAAGAGCACGCCTTGGTAGGCCTCGACGCCATGCTTGAGGAAGTAGAGCTCCCGCATCCGCCGGAAGACGTCCCAGGTGAGCAAGCTGTCGGAGGCGGCCTGGTGGCACCGCCCCGCCGCGCGCTTCACCTGCAGCGCCGCCGCCACGCGCTCCAGCCCGCCGTACAGCTCGCCGCCGCAGTGCCGCATCATGTGCTTCACGTCGTACACCTCGTCGCCGAAGAAGACGCGCACCAGGTTCAGGAACTCGGCCATGGACCTCGGCAGCTTCCGCCCCATGAGGAGCTTGACCAGGTAGGCGAAGTCGTAGGCGGAGTGGAAGGTGACCCACTTGACGGCGCCGTGGGAGCAGACGAGGCCCGACGACATGAGCAGCGGCGCCAGCGCGCTCGCCCTGACGCCGTGCCTGCGGTGCGCGGCGAGGTCCACGCCGTGCTCCGCCAGCAGCTGGACGGACTCGGCGGCGTGGCGGTGGACGCGCTGGTCGAAGTCGGAGAGGTTGATCTCGAAGGCGAGCGCGGGCGCCGCGGTGGGGGACGCGGCGAGGGTGATGCCCACCTGGATGAGGTGGAGCGCGTCCACGTTGCGGCGGAGGAGGTCGTACCGGTCGCCGGCGGTGAGCAGGGCGGGGTGCTTGGTCGGGCGGTGGATCACGCCGGGAAACTCCGTGTCCATGGACACGTACGGGAAGTGATCGATCGCGTTGCGGATGATCCGGAATTCCTCCTCCACGTTGTGCGCCCACACCCGGCGTATCTCCACCGGCGGCGCAGGCTGCCTCTTCCTGCCAACGCCGGCGGCGGCGAACTCCGACGGCACGAACGCCATGCCAGGCGGCGGCGGCTGCTGCTTCTTCCGACCGGCGGCGAACAACAACTCCGGCGGCGGCTTCTTCCTGGCGGCGACGAACTCTGACGGCATGTCTTAACTCAAAGATTGGATGGATCTCGGCAACGAATTCGAAGCGCGATGAGCAATTGGAATTTGGAAAAATTCGGACCGAATTGGAGATGCGAGTGCGTTTGCCTGTTTGGACTGCGGCGAGTGAGAGCTTGCGTTTTATAGGAGTCCACCGGCGCATCCATTCGCGGAAGGCGGCAGGAGCGTGAGGGGAAAGCGGCGTGGGGAGCTTTGAGATTTGTGCGCATAGAGGAACGGACGGTGGCCGTGCGTCTGCGTTTATGGCGTGCGTTAACATACGGGGTTAATGATTGGGGTTAGGGGCGCGCGTGGATTGACCGTGTTGCAGACACAGAGGCATCTGCCCGGAATTGTGGGTTTCTTTTTTATTATTATTTATTTGGATTGAGTTCAAGGGAGGTGGACGCATTCCCGGTTTGTTTAATTCCGCAGCTGCTGCAGCGGATGTGCGATACCGTACGTACGCATTCGGAATTCTGTACTAATATTTTATTAGTAATTTTTTTCATTTATAATTATATAATCCCTATGTTTTATAATGTAAGACTTTCTAGCATTGTCTATATTGTGAAACGGATAAAGTAGGAGTAGTGCTAGTATACTCTAGTCGGCTGGTAGAGTATAAAGTATAGGGAGGACACATTTCTGGTGGTGCTAGTTGGTATTTGGGTGCAGTGCACCCCGGCCAAAACAGAGCACTAATAAGCAGAGATGCTCCAAGTTGAGAGGTAGTACGCTGAACGTGGACATGCACCAGGTTCGGTGCATACATGTTCCCACCCCCTCCGTTAGGTCGGCTTGTTGCGGTAATTGCCGACGTGGTGAAGTTGCAAAACAAAACCAATGGAGCTTGGCGAGGCCACTAGTACTACTCCAGTAGACTAGTCATCATCACTCATGAGGCTGAGGCTGACCGACCGAGGAGCAGCAACGACCCGGTCCCCGACTCCTCCCTCCCGTATGCGTGCGTTCGGTAGTCCACCGGTAGTCCGGTAGGCCGTACACTAGTGTGCAGGCACCGCACCGTCGCTCTCACTTTGGCGGTGGCCATCTAGTACACGTTTTTCTTCCCCCATCCCTGTACCTGTACGTGCAGCTGTGCTGTGCTTTGCTGGAAAACCAAAACCGCAACTGGGACGAGGGAGGGAAGGGAACCTCGCCGCTGTCTCACGCCAAGCGCTAGCCGCTGCTCCATCCGCAGGTTGCTGCTTTCGCGGTCGCGGTCGTCGCGGGCCACACGCTGCCCGGCCCGTGCGCCGTGCGTGTGAGGTGAGCCGACTCGTTTTTTTGTTTTTTCCTAGCCAGCGGCGCGGGGCGAGCTGCGGTGCGGCGGCGGCTGAAGAGAATCGATGGATGGGGGGGGGGGGGGGGGGGGCAGATGCCGCTGCAGGCCTCCGGAATTGACTTGACCGTCCATGCGAAACACTTGGAGGAGTATATTCCGTTCCTTGCGTGTGCTAGTGTTCAACGAAATAGCCAGCCGGTCGTCGGCGTTCGCGTTTGGTGAGTCTTCTTCCTCCTGGCCGGTCCTTCTACACTACTCCCACTTATGCATCCGCGTCTTCCGTGGTTGGTAGACAGTATCGGAAGGATTACCTTGCATTATTTCTGATTATGGCACTTTGAATCGTATGAATGAAAAAAACCGAGGAATAGAAAAAACACAGGATTCTGATATGAATATAATTGTAAAACAGAGGATTACAAAACAGAGAAAAAACACAGGAATGACCGTTTAATTGGACCACAGTAAAAACGCAGGAATCACATAAGAGAGATATACTCAGAGGAAATGTTCCAAGAGGTTAGATCTCTTGCTAACTTTCCTCCAAAATGTGCATAGAATTATCCATTCCATAGGAATTTTAAAAGATTGGATAGGATTCAATCCTTTGTTTCAAAGGTCTTCATAGGATTTTTTTTCCATAGAATTGTAATCCTCTAAAATTCCTACATTTTTCCTATAAATCAAATGGGCACTTATTTTATTTTTCTCACATCAAGCAAACAATCATATCCTGGCTACTGCTAGTGTACGTAACTCGGTCCAACTTTGACTGCGCCTACGCATCTCGTATCGTTGGGGTCCGGTGCATATGATGGATTGATGGCTCATCCGGTATTGGTTTCGGCGGCTCGACTCGTTCGTTTGCTCTGTTCCTTTTCCACATCCGGAAAGCGACCTACAGTGACAGTGAGCTTCCAGCCCACATCACAGCTTTTGAGTTCTTTTTTTTTCCTTCTATAAGAGAAGGTACAATTGCAGGCTATAAGCCAGCTGCAAATATATTTTAAGAAGATAATGAGGAGAGAGAAGAGCAGCGGGCTACAGATTTGTAGTCAGCTGTAGCACAGACTCCAAGATACAGTATGTGTATACCATGTGGGACCATGTATTAATAGTATAGTATATAACTATTGTATGAATGAGCTATTAGATTGGCTATAGATGAATTGGAGCTAGTAGTTGGCTATACTATTAAACTTGCTCTAACATATGAGTTGCCTTTATATTAGTACGTACGGCTATGTTCGCTCCACCTGTTCCCAACCCGAACAGTGTACACGAAAAATGAAACGGTTCATTAACACGTAATTAATTAAGTATTAGCTAATTGTTTTAAAAAATGGATTAGTATGATTTTTTAAACAACTTTTGTATAGAAACCTTTTAAAAAAACACACTGTTTAGCAATTTAAAAAGCATGCGCGCGAAAAACGAGTGAGATGAGTAAGAACACAGCCGTAGTACTAAAATGGGCTGAACCTGCTTGCAACTACCTCGTGCGGAATTCTGAATTCAGACATGTGCCAACCCAAATCAGAAAGCCCCATGCCATTTCCCACCCAAAATTGAAGCCGACGAGCCCGCTAATAATGGGCTGTGGGCAGGTGCCCATGTCGCCAAGAAAATGGCACCGGGATAAAATACTTGTTAGTCTTAACACACATGCATAAATCATAGGAGTCTATACGGTGCCAGATACAGGAGGTCTCGTGTTATTCAATCTCTCTCAGCGTTCAAACCAAGCCAAACCTGTCCTTCACATTGGCATGCATATGATAGCAAGCAGGGCAGCCATTAGGCATTAGCAAGGCGATTCAGTAATTACCAACAACACTGCACTACATACACATCTAGTACTACTACCTTTCAGGTGACAGATTTGGGGGCAGGTGATAGTTACGAACGGTGCGTGCCATGGACAGAGATAGCAATCCAATCCTATATGAGTATATAGCAGCAGCAGCAGCAACAGGAACATGCCCTCGAACATCTCACGGTATGACTAGAAGAAGGTCCCTTCTGGAGGCTGAACCAGCTTGCGGCTGTGCGGCGCGGCCATCTCCTTCTTCAGCTGCGTCAGGATATTCTCCATGGTGTACTCCCTCTGCCAGTTTGCCAGCATATGGAACTTCTTGCTTTCGACCTGATGAAGTAAAGTGAAATGATTACAATCAATTCTCACCATCTCATTAAGGCGTGTGTAATCAGAATTCAGAACCCACAGGTTTAAATTGTAATTGAATTGGTAAGTACTAGCAGTAATAACTTACTAACATTCTGAACCTTTCTAGCTATATGTGTCTATGGTATCAATTTCTGCATAATTTTGCAGTGTTTTCAGGTGAAATTCAGTAACCTTCCAGTGAAACAATCACATCATTACAACCTAATGAACCTATTGAAATCACTTCAGCATTAGAATGTCTATCTGTTTGAAACTGAAGATCTTTCCTGGCAAAATTCAGACACTAGCGTGCAGGCAGCAATATGATTCAAACATCCTTCGGTCCTTCCTGCGTATCAAAGGAATCATGACATGCAGGAATGCATGCAGTGACGCAGTTCATAGATCTTGCTGCCGCAGTCAGCAGCATTTCAAGTATGCAGAGGATCAGTATGTTATAAACAAAGGTATGGTATAGGTGGTACTTCAACATTCATCAGAATTTCAGATTTACAGTTGCTGCTGAACTTTAATTTAGGCCGAGTTTAGTTCCAAACTTTTTTTTTCAAACTTCCAACTTTTCCATCACATCAAAACTTTCCTACACACACAAACTTCCAACTTTTCCGTCACATCGTTCCAATTTCAACCAAACTTTCAATTTTAACGTGAACTAAGCACACCGTTAATCTAATTGGAAGCAACTACTATCAAACAGTACTATGTATAACATCAATCAGTGCAAGTTCTTTCAAAAACTTGCAAAATCAGAGCATGTTCAGGTGGGCAGCAATCAATTTGCTGGCAGAATATATATTCCTGTGTGCTTTACCCGTTGGTCATTAGAAGGCAGAATGAGTAATAATACCAAGATGAGGGAATTGAAGTGGTGGCATGTGCAATGGGCAGGTGGTGGTGGTAAACAACAAAGGGAGGGAATTTTTAGCATACGAACCAGTCCGGTGTCAGGGTTGACGCAGGGCATGTTGATCCTGGAGTGGAAGCGCACGGTGGGCGGCTTGTCGGGGTAGTCCTTGTCGCAGAAGAGCTTCAGCTGGTAGATGCGCCCCTCGTGCACAGACTGCAACCAACCAACCAATCAACAACCCAGATGAAAATGCAACCAACCAGATGATGAAAAATGCAGCAGTGAGCACATGCGTGGTCGATCGATGAGAAGTATCAATCTGCAGCAGGATGTCAATGCAAATATATATGTACACAGCGGGGGGGTTGCGAGCGTACGTACGTTGAGTGGTCCAATGATTGTGCCGGTCCAGGAGCGCATGAAGATGTCGTCGCCGTCGTCGTCCATGCCGTAGCTGACGGTGCCGTCGCCGATGCCCTTCTCGCCACGCTCCAGCTCCTCCAGCAACCGGAAGTTGCGTGGCACTACTGCGATATGATGGATCAATCAATCAATCAAAACCCAGCATCCATCCAAGATATGCAAGGAATGATCGGTTCGGGCGCATGCGTTGCGTACCTACGACGCTGGAGGACGCGCCGCCGATCGTCATGGCCGCCGATTGATATGCTTCCGATTAATCCCTCCTCCACTCCGCGTGTGGAGAGCAGAGACAAGGAGAAGCCGGCGGGTGTGAGAGCGTGGGCGGGAGGGATAAAAAGGAGGGCGATTTTGTGGGTGCGGCCACTTGCGGAGGGAGTGCGTGCGTGCAATCCACGCACCGGCCGGCCCGCCCGAATCTGTCCCCTCCCTCAGCCTGCATTCATATATCCTTTTCGGCTTTCCTTTTCGTTCGTCGGTGCCAGGCGACTTGGGCTATTACAGGGGGGACATGGATGCTCTACAATGCTGCATTTACAGTGGCAGTGGCTGATAGGTGGACTCGGTCCCATATATCAGCGGCTGCTACTGCATGTGTAGTACTGCAGACAATCCCCACTGATTATTTGAGGGTTGGACTTGCACATCAACGGCTCCAATATCTCATACAAACTCCCTCTGTTTCATATTATAAATATATTATAAATCATTTGTCTTTTTTCTAATTAAACTTTGTCAAGTTTAAATAGATTTATAAAAAGATTTAATAATACCTAAAATATGAAATTAGTTTTTATTAAATCTAACATTGAATATAGTTTGATAATATTTTTTAAAAAATACTACAATATTTTTCTATAAATTTGATAATTTTGTCAAACTTAAAAAAATATATAAAAAAAGTCAAATGAGTTGTAATATGAAACGAAAGGAATACCAAACATCCCATGTACACAAACTCCTGTGTTTTGCCATCTCTCCACTTGTTAAACTGTCTCCTTCCTCCTCTATAATCGGTTTTCAAGAGGGTGCGTGCAGGTGCAGGGTTTACTTCCCCTTCTGGGAGTGAAAAACGTTTTACTAGTGTGACGACCCAGAAGATCAATATGGTGATTTACCATAGGAAATCTCCTAGGTGCAGGAAGGGGAGCGTGATAGAGAAATAAGCGATGACTATATGAAAGTTCTAACAAAAAAAAAACTAATATACCGTATGAACAATGTGGGGGTGGCTCCCTAGGACCTTCAAAATCAAGTTTAAGTCTCTTAAATCACCACGTAAATTTTAGAGGAAACCAGCAATTGTTCAGTTGAGCCTCAACTCAGCCATAACATTTAAGAGCATCCCCAGCAGCTCATCCATATTCGATCCTCCATATGCCTATTTAGATGGTCATTTAAAAAAGATTTCTCCTTTATATTTCTCTCAACTCCAACAGATCATTCATATTACATGCTCTATATCTCATCCTCTTATATTTTAATAGTATATACTTCAACTACCATCCATTTATATTATTTTTTATTTTTTCACATGTCCCTTATCTTCTTATTCACTGTTCACTCGAACTCTCGAGAAGCGGCGCAGGAGAAGCGGGGAGGAAGCGAGGAGAAGCGGGCGAGGGGTGGCGGCGGCAAGCGGCGGAGGAGGAAGGCGGTGGGCGCCGGGCGACGGCGGCTGGCGAGGGGCGGCAGCTGGCGAAGCGGAGGCCACGCACAGGGCGACGGCGGCGGACGAGGGACCACGCGCACGCCAGCGGCAAGCAGCGGCCACGCGGCGGACGACGGTCCAGATCTAGTACGCCTCTCTCCACGATTCGCTGAAAAAAAAAAGCAAAAACGGGCAAGGGAGCTCTCCTTCGCCGGCTGGGGACGACGGCGATGGAGGTGGGGTCACGCCAGAGGGAGATGGTCGCTGAAGTCCGGATTGGAGCGAGAGAGGCGGCTGTTGCAAAAGGGCGTGAGAGGAGAGACACTCCATTTTTGCCTCTTCTCTCTCTCCTAATTTGGCGCATCCGTCACTTTTGGAGTGCCTAGTAGCGCATCTGTTGGAGCCGTTTTTCCCCTTCTATACGCCAAATGAAGGATGGAGGATCGGTTAGAGTAGCTGCTGGGGATGCTCTAATATCTGACTCCACCGCTGCATCGTTACGTTCAGTATTTTTATTCTTTAATCCTTTTGATCCACTATTGAAGAAACTAAAAAACAAAATCCTTTAGTTTTTCATTTTTAATCCATTTTCTGTTACATTTTATTTTGCGGACACCTTTACATTATCCTTCTTTTTAAAAAAAAACTAACGTATTATCTCTTCCCTCCACATTCTAACGTCATCCTCCAGGCAAATTCAGTGACAGGATAAAGTCGATCGCTGGCTCTCCCCTCCATGCACAAACCAAAGCTTTTAGCTGGCTTCTTCCCTGGGAGCATCTGATGGTCTGTTCATAGTTTCAGCGTGATCTGTTGATAGTTTCAGCGTGGGCAGAGCCCGGATGGCAGCGCTCCTTTTTGTCAGTAGAAACGGACGCGTCGAAAAGGAAGAAAATAAACGTGGATGCATGCCTCATCCTCTCGAATCTATCGGCCCAGTCAGTTCTGCAGTTCAGGGTCAGCGTCCAGGTTCAGTCTCAGACTGACCGATTCGGCCTTTTTCTGGCATCGCACACAGAAATCACGCCAAGAAAAAGGAACTCGTAAATATCCTGAAGAAAAGAAGAAAGAAGGACGGTGGGTATAAATGTGTTCTTGATGACGAACTGACGTGCATGCTAAGCCCCGAATAATTCCTCCTCTCAACTGCCCCTAATGATTGCCGGCCTATAGCTCTGTTCATTTTCAATTCATTCATATTCATCAGCTGCTATTCCATGCGTCCATATACTCTACTCTCCACTTGATCTCTAATTAAAACGGGCACACGTTTTTCATGATACGATCGATCGCCCCATCCATCTACCATAAGTTCGACTCTACTTTAATTTGATTCATCACTACTGGTATTTATTTTCCCGTCCCCTGACTAGCTAAAGCTAGCTGGAGGTTGATTTTTCATCACGCATCCTTTCCATCCAGCTAACACAATTAAGCCAAAGTACGTACGTAACGCAGCAGCAGCAGAGATCGATTGATCGATCAATCAACTGAGAGACGATGAAATTAACCACCTTCTCCAATTAATGGAAACCTGCTTCATCAGTGTATAGTAGAAGGAAAAAAGACATAAACCAAACCATGGAAATGGATCATATCGATCGCTCGATCGTTAAGAACACATGCATATGCAACTAACTAATACTGTAACAAGCAAAACAATTGAGAATGATGGCAGATTCATTAATAGGATGGTTAAAGCATGCAACTGCACCACGGAGTAGGAGATCATTTGGGAAGGGATGATGCATGCTTGATCCTCTGGTCTAGCTACTAGCTAGCTAATAGTGCTAATTTGACAAAATTAACCTGATCGATCGACCAAGCTACAGAGGAGGTGCAGATTAACTAAAGACACACAGATCGAATGACAGAAAAAAACATAACAGCTACTACTAGAAAAAGGGAACTACAGCTAGCTAGCGATCGAGAGAGAAAAATTAAACATAATACATGGATGCGTTAGAATTAAGACGACGGACGGCGGCCGACCATCTGGGAGAGATTGAGAACCGGATATGGAGGAGCTAGGTCTTGGAGGGCGGCTTGCTGCTGGCGGCGGCGCCGGCGCCGGCGGCGGCGCCGTGGAGGAAGTGCAGCAACACGGGGCTCTTGCACCGTGGGCACTTGGGCTGCTGCTCCTCCTCCGAGAGCATCACGTACATGAGGCACTGCGGGCACCCGGCCACCACCATCGGCTTCGCCACCGCCGCCTCCTCCTCCGCGTCCGACGACACGCACGAGCTCGCCGGCGACTCCGCCGTGCCGGCCATCGATCGCACCAGCTAACAATTAACCAAGCTAACCAAACCTTAGCTATACGTCCTATATGTAGCTAACGAGCTACTCCTACTAGACAGGCTTAAAGAGAGAAGGTGAGTAATATAGCTATAGCTAGGGGGAGTGCAATACGGATGGAGGAGGACGCACTGTGTAATGGCGAGTGGGTACAGGAAGAGAGAAGGCTATGTTTGTCTTGTGGGAGAATGAGTGTGGTGCGCCTCCATCTCATCCGACACCGCTATATATAAGTGCTGTGCTGTGCCATTGGGAAGGCATGCCATGTCATGCATATATGCATGCATGGCGCCTGCACTCACTAGTGGAGAAGTGCTTTTTAGTCCCGGTTCGTAACCCCCTTGTAGTCCCGGTTTTCAACCCGGGACTACCAATCCGGGACTAAAGATCGCTATCTTTAGTCCCGGGTGAAAAAACCGGGACTAAAAATCGATCTTTAGTTACTCCCGGTTGGTAACACCAACCGGGATTAAAGAGAGGGTAGCGGCAGTCTAGCTGGTCCTTTTTTTTCTTTTTTTCTTTTCTGCTTTTTTTTTATTTTCTTCCGAATCGAGTGGTATGCATATCGTCAAATTGAACCCCAAATCCACATCACAACTCCACAGCACAATTCACAGATTCATCACAAATTCATTCACATATTCGTTCACAACATCACAAATATATTCACAATATTGATTCATAGGTTCATTGACAACATCGAGTCACATACTCAGTCACCACATCACAGATTCATACATTCAATCACAGATAAAAACATCCAAACCACAAATAAAAAAAATCAAAAAAAAGACTCACCGGGCGGCCTCCCATCCCGCCGCCGGCCGGCCACCCATCCCGCCGCTCCAGATCCGGCCGGATCTAGGGGAGGGGGGGGGGGGGCGAGGGCACAGCACGGCAGAACGGCCTCAATCCACGCCGACCCAGCGCCGGACACACCGCCAAGCACCCAGCCCAGCAGCCCGGCCAGCACATCCCGTCGCCGCCGGCCAGCACGCCGCCAAGCACACCAGCACCGCAGCTCAGGCACGGCAAACCAGCCAGGCCGGCACAGCCGCCAGCCTCAACCCGCGCTCGGCCGCCATCCCGCCGCCAGCCCTAGCCCGCGCCCGGCCTTCATCCCGCCGCCACCGGCCGCCCGCCGCCAGCCCATGCCCGACCTCCATCCCGCCGCCGCTAGCCTGCGCCCGGCCTCCATCCCGCCGCCGCCGGCTGCCTCTGCAAGGGGAGGAGGAGAGGGGGTGAGAGAAGAGAAGGGGAGGATGGAAGGAGAAGGATGGAGAGGATGAAGATAAGGAAGGAAAATAAAAAGAGATAAGGGTGGAGAGAGAGGCTGCGCATGCACAAGGTTCAGAGAGAGAAGCGTGGGCTGGTGCGTGCGCTATCCTCGGGATCTTTAGTCCCGGTTATTAACACCAACCGGGACTAAAGAGCCTATTTTTAGTCCCGGTTGGTAACACCAACCAGGACTAAAGATCCCGGGGGGCCTGACAAGGCCTGATAGGTTTAGAACCGGGACTAAAGATTATTTTTAGTCCCGGTTGATAACACCAACCGGGACTAAAGATCAAATATGCCCGCTGTAGCCATCAACCGGGACTAAAGATGATCTTTAGTCCCGGTTTTTAGTGGAACCGAGACTATTGTGGATTTCGGCCGACCGACCAAAGATGGTTTCTCCACCAGTGACTTGAATGCTACAACAGCTAACTCCCTTTAATTAGGAGTACAGTATTTTGCAAAACATATTTACAGGTGGCTAGAGATCATCACATCCTGTATATAGTTACGTTGATAGAACCCCTTTACTGACAATCATATACTAACCATTGATATCTCACAGACACTTCTGTCCAATGGATGGCTCAGTTTGATGATCACGTGGCTAAATAAACGTGAGAACTCCTTATAGCAATTACTAATTCAGTTAGCGGGTGGTACTTGCATTTCTTTATAGTTTATACAAATAGAGTATTAGTTATACCCTACTATGAGTGCACTTACTAGGGTTTGCTCCCAAATATTTCTATCATGTCGACCAAATGATGTCAGTGACACATGCAGGGGTATATATTCTGGAGGACCCAGCCCAGCCTCAATGGGCGGGTACTATACAATCCATAATCTAAGCATAGCTCATCTTCTATTCATAAACAAAAACGTTAAAAATATATACCTTGCCTTGTAATTCTAGAGACTAGAGAGGAAATTACACCTGAATTTTCCCTCAGTTGTTCACAGCAGCTTGGCGCTTCCATCCTACCTTCATCACTCGCCCAGTACAGTACAGTTTCCAGGTAATTAACAGCAATCGGAACATCATTTTATAGCTCCTGTTGGCCTCTCTGCGAAATAAATACTGTCATTGTGCAGTGGTCGGAGCGTATAGCAAAATAGATTATGATAAATGAATAATATTACCAAAATTATTGATATGTGCTTTCGTGCTCTTTCAAAGAAAATAGGTAGAAATTTAATTCTGGATCAGTTACAGTAATATAAAAGTAAGGGCCAACTAGCAATGGTCCCTTCGCACTAAATTTTTTTTACCAGCACGTCTGCTGAGAAAAGATAACATAGTGCTGTATCAACATAGCTGCCACTATTCTAAACTTTTGGAACAGTTAAATCTCCACTACAGATGAGCTCCAAACGTCAAATTTCCCCTTTTTTCCCCAGAAAATGAAAGGAAGTTTTCAGTTTCTGCTATCCTGTTGTGTCATTTCCTATTAATTGTTACTCTCTCCATCCCATAATATAAGGGATTTTAGAGGGATGTGATCTAGATTCGTAGTCCGAGGAAACATCACATACCTCTAAAATCCCTTATATTATGGGACGGAGGGAGTACTAGTTTAGGAATAAAGATGTTTCCTGTCTCTTTCCTATTTTCATTCTCCACCCATACCATAAGGCTTCTTCCGTTTTGGTTCAATGTCAGTTCATCGGCAGTGATGGGATCGAAATTCGATCGACAAAGATCGGCTGCTGGTTTCAGAGACTGTACAACTTATAACCATTGGAGCAAACAACGTTAAACATACTCTGACTAAGGGAAACTATTCTAATCCCTCGAGGGGATGTTCGCTCGTTTGCTCAAAAACCATCTAAACGGTTATGAAAAATTCTGGAAAAATTTGACAACATTCATACAACACATATATACAACTTCACAAAATCTTAAGTCCAAACTCAACTCCCACGTCGAGATATAAAAAAGACAAATTCAGCGTATGAATAGTAACGTACTGTTTATATCTAAATTTGTCTTTTTTGTTTCTCGATGTGTAGATCGAATTTGAACATGAATTTTGGTGGACTAGTAGGTATCATTATACTCTACGTTGTCAATTTTTTTCAGAATTTTTCACAACTATTTGCATCGAATTTGGAAGAAAAAGATATACGAAGGGATATCCCCTCGAGGGATTAGAATCTACTCCCCTCTGACTAACCATAGATGTAGATCTTTGTTTTAAGGGTGGTATTCTTAGTAGTTTTCTACTTTGTGTTTCATAATTTTGTAATCCGCAGCTATTCATTCTGCAAATTCTATAATAATTGGTTGCAGCTTCTTTTAAGTAAAAAACCAGAATAAATTCTCTTATCATAGAAAAAAAATATACCATAAGGCTTCTGTTGGATGCAATGTTTAAAAACTCCACCAAAATATTTTTGTTCTGCAGAACTGTCCTTTTTTTTTTGCTGGACAAAGCCTGTAGGACCGTACCTATCTTTAGAAAATATGTATTCCTTCCATCTTTATTTACTTGTCAATGTTAACCATAATGTTTCACCTTTAACCATTAATAACTTTTAAAGATTAAGTTATTATTAGTGAAAGTTGTCTGGTTGTATTTATGGAACACACATCGCTAATGCAACATATTTTAAGTATACATATGTTTCATTTTTGCAAAAAGGGCGAGTGATCAAAGCTAAAAAGCTAGTAACTTTTTTAGGGAAAAAAGCTAGTAGTAAGTAGTAACTAGTGACAAGTATTTGAAACTAGAGTGGGTATAAAAGGAAGGAATACTGTATGAATTACCAAATATCACACTGAATTATTTGGCATGAAAAAAAACAAAGCATGTTTCAGGCAAAATATTTACATTGTAGTACTTCATACTGTTCATACATGCTACTATCTCCGTCCCAGAACATAAGAAATTTTAGGATTAAACACAATTATTAAGAAAGTAGATAGAATTAAATATGATGATATTGTGATTGGTTGAGAAGTGGAGGTAGATGGAAAAATTAAATGGTGCAGGGTTATGATTAGTTAGGAAGAGAATGTTGGTGGATAAGTTATTTTATTTTGGAACAAACTCTTAGTGATAGAAGTTATTATATTTTGGGATGGAGGGGGTAATTGGTACTATGAAATTTTCTCTCCGAACAAAGGCCTAATACAACACTAATACAATCAAGATTTCTTTGAAAGAATTTATGGTGTATGAATGGAGAAGCGAGATGCAGCTAAGCAAAATTAAATAACAGGCATAAATGAAGCACTGTTTTATCTTGTGGGCAAGACTTGAATGGGGAGGCCACTTTCGATTCAATGAAAGATACCGGCCAGCTAAGATTCGCAGCTCATAGCACACACATACGCACAAACTCAACACCAGTCTCAAGAAATCGGGCTCATAAGCACAGCATTAATGCCGTCTTGTGCAGGCATTCAAGTGTCCTACTAGTAAAAGCTTTCAGCTTGGACAGAGGCGTGCAATTCCAAGTAATATTGAATCGGGCTGAGCTACGTTAAGGCCCATTTGATTGAAGCTGCTGTACTGGAAGATGCCAAACCTTAAATGAGAAAACAGTCATCATCTAGCACTTGATTGGACTTGTACTTCAGTTTCAATAGGGAATTCCCCCATTGAATAAGCCCAACCCGCAATAATGTGCAAGATACCAATCTTTGCTCCTATTTACCTTGACTATGGTTTTTTTAAGATCATCAAAACAAAGAACATGAGGGCCTGTGCATTCTCTCGAAGAGAAAAAAGCTCGTCCAACTTTCTACTTACAAGTTTAAATGATCTCAGCTTTTACGAGCACCACGACACAGATTGGTTTGTCGTACTAGTATTCAAATAAGCATCGAACGGCTTGTCCAGGGATGTGGTTACAAAACCAAACCTTGTAGGCACACTGTGCTGCCCCTACAAAATTCTGCCAATCAAAGTGGTGTTCAAGCATATGCCTATAAGCGCTCCTACCACTCCTA